CTCAGTTCTGGTAAGTTGTGATAAGCTTCAGTTTTAATTTCAAGTGAAAAGAGTCGCCAGTCTGACCTAACAAGACCAAACAAGTTGATGAGTCATCATCCATGACCACATGTTTATCATTTCTGATGATATTAAGATAAATTCAATGTCTTAATTCCAAATGAACTAAGGAAGAAACTGCAAAGAAAATGGCTGGAAAAAGTGTAATGAATACATATTCTATGGAGGACATTTAGAATATAAAGACCAGTAGACAACAGGTGATACTAAAGAGTAGACAAGTAATTACTGTACAGTATTTGCATTCATTGACTTCTTAATATGTTAGGTGTATGTGTGAGCTGACATCAAAGAAAATGTTACAGCAATCTACAGAGTAAAGATGAAAATACCAATTAGCTTAAGTCACTCCAAAATCAGACTTGGCTACGCTTACTTACAAAATATTTACCTATATATCTCCAAATAATGGTCTACTCCTTAGGCTCAATTAATTATAAGGCTTCGGTGATTTCTGTGATAAATATCAATGAAACACTGATTAAGACTCCGCTCAATTTGTTTGAGGAATCTAAACTCCTTACAGTATCTCTCAGGTATCAGGTAATTAATATAAGAACCTGGAAATATAAAATTGCCTTAGAATAAGTAAAGATGGTCCAAGACTTTAGAGTTAAATATTACTTGACCTACAGCATCATCATTTGCATTCTATATGTAATAACTCTTGTGTGACCAGTGATGTTTTTCCTGATTCTCATATAACTGCCACCTCTTATACATCATTTATGAATTCAACTCATAATCAAACAGTACAAATGGTGATAACGGGCCCACAACCAGGAGAGGAGCAAGGGGTGCCAAGAAAGGAAAAGGGGGGCCAATCGCTGGTTTGGTCAGGAGGCCCACATATACGTGTGTGTGAGTGTGTGTGTGTGTAAGGGGGGGGGAGTTAAATTCAGGGATATTTTAAGGCCATATCCACTGGATATTAGGACATATTCATTAATGCTTATTGACCAAATTTTTAAGTTACTTCGAGTTTTGGAGGAGCTGTAGCCCTCAGTCCTCTATGCCCATGCTCATATACTGTATTACATAACATATAATATAGTACAAATAGTCAAGATGAAATCCACTTCCAACAATGTCTAGTTATTAATTAACTGATAAGAAATGCATACAGTTCAGGACACGTTGAGCACTTTTAATACACACACACACACGTTGACATAAAGATATCCATAAACCACAGTGGCGCCCGTGGCAGTTAATTAGCAAGAATACACATCACTGAAAAGTTAAAAGAATACTACATCGGAGAGATGTTTATCACCTCGTCACATGCGGTCACTCTCCACACTGCTTTGACTGCCTGACAGGTCACTAAACTCTGCCCCCTGACCCAATATTAGAATAGCCATTCTTAACCTGGGTAACTATACTAACAGCCATTCTTAATGAAGAGAGCTTCAAAGAAAAAACCGACATACACAGTGTCCTCGTGACTTATGTGATCTGGGGACCCCGCGCGGAACTAAACAGTGATATCCCCGTTAGCCGGAACAATTGATTCACTACACTTCCGGGAATGAGAGATTTCAGAGTAACGAGACGACTCTCTAAAAGCCGGAAAAAATCCCTCATCCCCGGAATTTTCTGGGTAACGGAAAAATTTTCTCGGAAGTTCCAGAAATTGCCCATTAAATCATCTCTTGAACCCAGAAAAATATCCGTCATCCCAGAATTTTCCGGGTATCAGAAAAATGTTCTCGGAATTTTCCGGAAAATGTGCCCCTCAGAAAATCGTTCCTAAAGCCGTAATTTTACGGAAAATTACTGCTTTGTAAACGATTTTCCGAGAAAATTTTAATTCCAGCTATCGGAGAGTTCCAGGTTTGAGGGTTTCCGCTAAATGAGATATTACTGTACTCGATAGCAGACCTCGTGATACATGTTCACATGTTAAAGGTACTTTTTTATTTTGCCAAAGTTCCCTTTTTTGTCTTTTCACCCCCTTTTCTCCCTCAATTTCAACAGGGAAAACAATACTCTAATGTGACTTTAGAAGAAAATATTATATAAATCTATAAATAAGAAAAATAATGTGTGGAAAGGAATTATGTGTAGGGAAGTACAATAGGTAGGTATAGCAGTTGAGGGTGGAATGATTTGGCAATAGTTCCCTCCCTGGGAGACTTCTGTCAGCCCGACCTCCTTAAAACGATGTAATTTCATCAAATGTAATTCCCACATTATTTAGGTTCATTTGATGATGAATTAACAAAACATTATTGTAAATAATCAATTAAAAAATTAAAACACTTGACCTAGAGAAGTTATAGTGTCGTGTTAGGTTCCTGGTGATATAGACAAACAGCTGGCCGGCCAGCCAGCCAGCCTGAGAAGGAGCTGTTTATGCAATACAGTATAGAGCTATTTTTTGTACAATACCGATGTGTTGCTGTATTTTTTATGTAATATGTACAATGTTTAGTTTTTATTACAGTCTTGTGTTACCAAACTATAGGCATTTATTGTGAAACGTTTTAGATGCACGGAATAGCTAACACGTTAGCCGTTCCTGGACCGTCATTAAAAAATACGACCGTACCGCACCTTGGGAATAACTGTTGTACAACACAATCTTCAGAAAACAGTAAAATTAGGAGAACTGTTATTTGGATACAATACGGAAAGAAACAGTAAAGAAACTATATAGAAAAATATGGAAAGAACGACAAAAAGGAAAAAAGTCATCAATCAACAATAAATAACAAAAAAATCGGGCCAGTTGTTAAAGTGATTTTCCCGGACTCTTTGAAACCACACGTAACAGCCAGAGCAGCTGCTCCACTACATATGTTGAGTCTCTCACGGCTAGGTTTTCACATATTTATACACGAAATACGACGAATTTCAGGTTCATTTGTCTTAATTTTTGCACTTACAGAACTATAATCAACTTGTTCACCCTTATTTAAAGAATATTATGAGTAATGATATTAAGGCTTCAATCATATGTGAGTAATTATCAATATTGTTACACAAAAGTCATTAACAGCTAATGAAATCGGACAGCGCCCACTTAAAAACGGGTGGAGGTAAAACAGGTTTCAACTAGGCGCAATCCTTTTCAATTCTTTCACGCCATACGCTTTGTTTTAGGTCCTATTCAATATACTACCGTATATAGAAATATTTTTATTATTATATCAGTTTTTTATTGCCTTACATGCCCTGATCTCTTCAATATTAACCAAAATATTCTTCATAAGTGGCCACGATCCGCGTATTTACCCACTGTTTTAGTGGGAGAAACTCGCTGATTGGTTGTTAGCTATTTGGGCGCTGCACACACTGACGCCTGATCAAGGTGTTTGCTTTTCCCTCTCAAGGTGCCATGCGTACAACTCGACAGAAGCGTGATGCGCAGACAGAATAGCTAATGTGTTAGCTATTCCGTGTATCTAAAACGCCTTATATTTTATACTATAACAAAAAGTTATATATCACACAATAATATTTAACATATAATCTAAGCAAGGTTTTGACAAAAACTCAAAGGTAGAAGGAACAAAACACATTTTATTTGTACGGTTAACATGAAACTCGGGAGGAAGGTGCACGAATGTCGCGAAGTGGGGAATTTAGGGGTCTGTGTGAAACTCGTGAATCGTGGAACTCGAGCAGAATGAAACTCACGAGGCCACTGTATTGTATAGTATGACAAACTGCAGATGACAGTTGTCATTTCCTCTGGTAATGTCCTGCCTGGCTCATTAAATTATTGGTAATTTTTCCATAAAATTGTGTTTACTAAATTCTGAAAAACCTGCCATATGTTTCAAGATCCTTTTTCATCATTAAAACTCATTACAGGTTGTACTTCATTGATCTAGAGTTCCATGAAATGAAAACTTTTGTGGTTCGAGACTTTTAGGATATAATAATGAACATAAAAACTGCACAAACTCCACTTATCAACGGTAAGTCAGTGATAGTGCTGCTGCATGCATGCTAGTTGTATCAGAGAATTAAGTACAACATGATAAAATGTTATGAAAATTTTTTAAATGACAAAGATTTTACTCACACTCTACGTATCCTTGACTTATGAACACAACGTGAGAGTGATGTTGCAAGTGATTCAGCATGTTACCGTAGTTGCATCAGAAAGTTAGGTGGATGAATTAAGGGTTCCATAAATTTTGTAAATTACAAAATTAAAAGCAGTATTACTGTGACATAATAAAGGAACAAATAATATCTTTAAGCTGAACTAAGTTTTAAAAGAATACACCAGGGATTCCTCACTAGTCAGGTATTATGATGTTTGAACAAAACAATGGCAATGCATAATGAAGACACTCAACATTTGGTCAACTTCATTTGAAAACTGTTATGTTTTGAAATATTAATCTCAATCTACAACCCCTTTACCATTGAACTGAGAAAGTACTATTTTTTGTATTTATTATATGAAGTACTAAATGCCAGAGTTATCTACTGCAAGGAAGATAAGCTATTACTGAATACTGTACAGTATACTGTGGTTCTCTAAGTAACTACCGGTATTACCTTGTAGCTGATATGTAAACACCCATGAACAGGAAAATTCTATGATCCCAATCTGGTCAGGTCCCAAGGTCGCCAGATTGGAGAGGTTCATCTGTACTAATATCAAGCTTAAAACTTATAGGTGTCACTTAAACATACAGATGTATGGTTTTTCTTAAATTTCAGGTATAATTTAAAATAAAGTAATCAAACAGCCCTGTTGCATAAAGAGAAGCCAAACAGTAATTTTAATGAATTGGCTTACTCCAAAACTATTCTATACGGTATATATATATATATATATATATATATATATATATATATATATATATATATATATATATATATATATATATATATATATATATATATATATATATATATATATATATATATATATATATATATATATATATATATATATATATATATATATATATATATATATATATATATATATATATATATATATATATATATATATATATATATATATATATATATATATATATATAATCAAGGAAGGTTAGTACTATTACTAAACTAGATTTTGTCAATAATAGCAAACTTAAAATTAACATAATTATTGAAGTATAGCACCATAAAGCACTCGTTCTTAATTAAATATGATGTCATATCACTAGTCAATATTTCACATAAACTTCTAATAAGTCAGTACTAGTCAATGAAACAGTGGCACTAATCTAGAAGCATATCTTACAATGCCACAAAGAAATTATTATAAGACAAAGTAAAAGGGCTGGAATGTAGCATTATCTCTATGATCAGTGTAAAGGTAAATACTTTCCTAAGAGAAACTTTTGTCTGATAGATTTTTGTCCCTATAAACTAACTTAGCAGTATCTTACACTTAAAATATGACTCATTGTCATTCCGGATGACTTATGAAGAGAGAAAGATGGAGCAAAAATATATATTCATGAGTTAGCCTAATAGCAGTGTAACTAACTTTTTTTTATTTTTTGTACTGTAAAATTTTCAGAGATCAATTAATTTTTTGCTTCAGAAAAGTCTCTTATTAATAACAGTTACAGTACAAAACCTTGGCTGATGATATTTACCTTGTTAATCATTTCCTTCCTTGTCCGATTGATGAAAAGTGAGAATTTTTACTGCATACCTTCACTGTAATCCCAGCCACATTCACCACATACTGTATGCCTTATACCCACTAACACTGGGGCAATATTTAGCCACTCCAGTTTCTCAGATATTAATTATCTTAAAGCAAAAGATTTTGTATAAATTCCACAGATGAGTGCTTTTGTAATAAAACTTATACTTAAGGATAAGATGAATTATATTAATTTATCATGTTAAACCTACTTTGGTACCATTTATTTTGGGGGCGAGGGATTACATTTCCACTCATTTGAAAGCCCCAACTAAGTCTGTGAATTCTATGAAGTTGTTATTTGATATCTGTTTAAGCTAGCTGAGGGCTCCAAACAGATCTAAATATCATACAGAGGAATCCAAGACTATCCAAAACATTAATACTGTATGTTATTCTAAAGTTCCTGCAGAACCAAGTGGTAGCCCCTAAAGTACATCTACAAGGTCCCAAGTTGCCAGTTTTGGAGTGGAGCACATGGCCATTATCACAGATGCACCCAATCTCTCTTCTTGAGCAGAAATACACAAACCCACAGCCATGTTGTACAGAGGTACACCCATCTGAAAAAGTGTCGATTATTATTTTTGCTGTTATTATTTATGCCCGGTGCACCTCATTGTTAAAGCCTAATCTATTAATCATATGTAGGTAACTCTAAAAGAGCACAATGCACAGAAAAAAGAAACGTAAAAAAAAACCCCAAAATGTGCTATCTATGTCAATAGCACGAGCTAAAAATAAAACAGCAATAACAATTAACAGAGTTGTATTTGCTTATGCAAACACCACTGTTCACATAATATATTGTAAATAAACAAAATACCTGTATACTACTGTACACACCATACTGTACTCATCAACAGATGCTGTCATCCTGAGGATGTGATGCAGGCAGGCCAAATATTGATATGATGATACAGGATGACCTGCCTTTGTCATGTACCATTTCCTGTAGCAGTTGTTAGCACTCTCCTTTCCCTTCATAATGGAGGAATTGTACATGTACACTGTATACTGTACATACACCTTCAACACACTAGCCTACACTGTCCACCCTATGTACTGTACCATACAGGTAGTAGGTAATAGGCAGTTATCAAACAGGGAAGTAATACTTCCTGGGAAGATACTTGTAAATACTGTAAAAAAAAACCTGCTACATCACAACATATTAAACCAAACCCTGCTATAATAGCAACAAATATTATGAGCAGGTGGGTTGATCTGACTGACTTTTTTCACACACACAATACAGGGTTTTCAATTATTACAACATAAATAAAATCGTCTTTGCTCCTCCCATTTTTTTTTCTGTATTTATTTATTTATTTAAGTATCCCCCAATGTGGGTTAGTGACCTGTGCCCCGATGGGCTAATCCCCGCAAAAAAAAAAGTACTTTCACACTTAATGAATAATCAGTACAGTACACTGTACGTAACTGAAATCACTTTTTACATCTTAATACTGCACTGCATTAACAGTATTCTTGGTTGTGCATATGCTAGTACAGTAATGTAAAGTACTGTACAACATATATCATAAACGAAAACATCAGTGAGTAAATGATGAAGCTTGTACAATGGCAGAAGACAATGCACCAAGAGTGTCATGATGCAAGAGTGTGAGGAAATAAGCTGGAAAAAACATCAGCCAATCATTGACATCCCATGCAGTCTGGAGTCACATGACGGCAGTGGCCAATCTTAGCTCATGAGCATTCTGAGCCTATCCACCAAGGTGCCCAGCATGCATCCTTGCATAGGAAACATGATGCAATCTCTCGGAGTCATTCAAATGCCCGGAATGGAGAGACTTTCTCAGAATTTTCTGGAAATGCACATGATGCAATTCTCAGAAATTTGTTTGGATACTTGGAATGGAGTTATTTTTCCTGGAAATTCTCAGAGTGCTTAAAAAAAATTCTGGCTACTGGAGAGTTTAGGGGATCAAAACTTCCAGCAAATGGAGATTTTACTGTAATGGGTTTCAATGAGAAAATTGGTTTCACATAACAGAATTTCGTGTTCTAGAAAATTTTTCGAGAATGCAGCCCTTCCTTAACATTGGAGATGCCAGTATCTATAGTCATGTAAATTGGCAAAATTGATCGGCCTCAATTTTCCTAATATTTCCCCCTAAAAAAATGGGTTGGATATTTTTCCCCAACTCAAACCATACAAGTATGGAAGGAGTTCTGGAAAATAACTGAATTTTCCTTTACACCTCAAAAATTCTGTAGTAGTGCAAATTTCACGAAATGTGTACAGTTCACACTTATTACTAGAGACCATACAAACGAATTTTTTTGCTTCTCAGAAATAATATCCTTTTCCACGTATAAAAACAATAAAATAAAAAACAAACTAAAACATGTTAACTGCAAACAATTTGGGTAAAATATGGCCTGTAATTTGGCCATCTACAAGGATAAGTTTAACTACACCAATACACTATAACTCACCCGGTTACTGATCTTCCATTCTTGAGTGCCACCCATCTCGTGACATTTCCTCAAACGTGGTTGTTGTTCTGAAGCTTGAAGGCACAACAATTGTGAAAGAACAAGCTCATTTCGATCTGTCTGATGGAAGAATTGGCGGTTCCATTCCGAGCATACAGACAATACAAGTTTTGATCCTTTAACTGAAACATCTTCCTCAGACTCCACACAAAAGTTGGTTCCAGTCAAACGTATCTGTAATAAATTAAATATTTTATACACACCTTGTTGCAACATAGTTTACATTTTGGAATGAATCATCACTTCAAGCCTGTCATTTTAAAACCTATTTCATTTTCTTTCCACTGGATGCTCATGGTGTTGCCTACCATTTTTATGCCAATAATACACAGCTATGTGTGAAAATAATAAAAGTTGAGGATATTGGGGAAATAATGAAATCCTTGACGTCTAATATTAAGATTTGGATGACTAGGAGAAAACTTCAGCCGAATGATGGCAAAACGGAGATTATCGCCATCCAAGGAAATAGGAGGAGAGACGGCACAGATGATTTATCTCTTTAAACTTTGGAGAAGTGTAACTCAGTCCTGTCTATTCTGTTCATAATCTTGGACTGTACTTAGACTCAAAACTGAATTTCAAAGAGCATATAAATTCAGTAGTTAAGAGCTACAATTTCATATTCGAACCCATATGCTGTTAAACAGTTTTTGGATAGACAATGTCTTGTGACACTATTACATTCACTTATTTTGTCTTGGGTTTACTACTGTGACTCTTTATGGGTCTGTCTACCTAATTATCTACTGAAGAAAGTTCAAACAGTGTTGAACAGGGTGCCAGACTTATTTTTGCTCTCTCACCGAGGACTCCCACTACCCCATTCTAGATCGAATTACATCAGCTTCCAATTAAAGCTAGGATAGGGTTCAAACTCTGTCTAATGACTTTTAAGAAACAAATATTTGGTGAGCCAAAGTATTTGGCCAACCTATTAATTCCAATGACCATACAGTCCGTCCTCGACTTACGACGGGGATAGGGACCGACGACCAGGTTGTAAGGCGAAAATGCAAAAATAATACATAGAAAATCTAAAATGGGTGTCTCTTTTTCTTCTCAGCACCACAAACGAAAATTTTGTCAGTACATAGCGCGATCACTAACGTCGGGACTCGAAAATATGTAATTTGAAAAATATTTTATACGACTGTGGCGGTCGTATGTCCGGGTGGTTTAAGTCAAGTAGGTCGTAAGTCAAGGAGTACCTGTATAGTAATATCTACCTTAGCCGGAATCCCTCAAACCTGAAACTCTCTGATTGCTGGTATTGAAATACTACTGTATTCTCGGAAAATCGTTCCTAAAACTGGAATTTTCCGGAAAATTCCAGTTTTGGGAACGATCTTCCAAGGGGCACATTTTCTGGAAAATTCAAAAAAAAAAATTTCGTGGTACCCGAAAAATTCCGGGGATGTGGGGGTTTTTTTTTTCCGGGTTTGAGAGATGAAAATGAGGCGCATTTTCTGGAAATTCCGAGAAAATTTTTGCATTACCCAGAAAATTCCGGGGATGAGGAATATTTTGCGGGTTCAAGAGATGATGTAATGGACAATTTCTGGAACTTCCAAGAACATTTTTCCGTTACTCGGAAAATTCTGGAAAATTCCGGGAATGCGAGATTTCTTCCGGCTTTGAAGGAGTCATCTTGTTACCCGGAACATTCATTTGAGGTAACAGAAGTCATAAAGTCAACTTCCATCCTTTAACCATTAGAGTACAATGTTTGTTACTAACCTGCCATTTGTGTGTATAGTTCCGAGTGCGTTTATTCCAAGGCTGGAACTGCCTGACACCAAATCCTGGCTGGTCTCTGTCATTTCCTCTGTTCTTAGTTTCTTCACCTGGAGGTCCAAGCTCTGGGTAGACAGTGTTAAGATACCAAGAGAAAGGTTTGCACTGTAGATTTTTTCGAAGCTTTACCCTCTCTGATACATCACCATATTCCACTCTTTCTGCTCCTGGGCGAGTTTTGAAGAAGTTTTCCTTAAGATAAACAAAATCAAATATGATTTAGCTACATCAGAATATCAAACAGAAATCATCTTACAATACTCAAGTGCACCATTTGATACCATTATTTTCTTTTATAGATGTCATGTAAATAAGTTTGAAACCCAAAGAAATGAGATTTAAAGTCAACAGTGAGCTGCAATAAAATTTAAGAGAGCAATAAAACAAAAAACACTTCAGAACTTTTCAAGAACGGATGTAATGGTCTAAGAGATATGAAAACAGTACTATATAAATGTAAATGAATGAGAGGTAAGGGAGAAACAGTATTTTGAAAATAGATGGTTTTTGGGGGGAACAGGGGGTGTGGGAGAGGGGGTGGAAGATGATTGTAATCATGTACAGTACAGTATATCTATCCTAAATAAAATATGAAAACAATAGAGCAAAAACACCTTCTATACCCTCCGAACAAACCCCTTAATCATCAGGTGAAATAAGCTGGAGGGCTAATTTTCATGTGATTCAAAAATTTATGTAAAAGAATATTATTCTGACTCCTTACTTTGTAGTCATCCATCCACACATTAGCCACTCTTAAGGAGTTTCGCAAGAGGGAATCCTGTCCCCCAGGTCCGCCATAAGGCCGTCTACGACGGAAAATATGGCCCACACGGGAACAGGGTATAATTTCCAGTTCACCGCCACACATCCAAATCTTGAAAAAATAGTCAAACAATGAATACACAAATAAATAAATATAAACTCAATTATTCCAATGCAAGGACTGTAATTATAAATAACTACAAAACAGTACAGTATAATCCTAACATTAAAATACTCACCCTAAATGACATTTCAAGATTCTCTCCACCCCACACATCCATCCCCATGTCATATTCACCAAGCTCCTTGAAATACTTGCGATCCATGGCAAAAAGGCCTCCTGCCATGGTAGGAGATCTGTAATACAGTCATTAAAATAATATTGTTAACAAAAAGAATGAGGGAAGATAGCTGTGTTTTGTGAACAAACTTATGATCAACAAAATACATAATGCAAATTGTATTTTTTCAGACTTACCTTATAGGTTTAACAAAATTAGTTTTGTCTGCAAAATACATGGATGGAATTGTGTCCCATTTAAAATGCAGACCCCAGTTAAAGCCACCACGCACCAGAGGAGACGCTGTGTACTGAAAATAAAAAAACAATTGTACTTACCGGTATGTAAAAAATTATCTATAAAAGTAAACCTAATATATATTAATAAATGCAAGTTGAGTACAGTAAGATCTGTAGAATATCAATCAACAGTCATTAAAAGCTACCAAGAGATAATGACCAAACTTCAAAGTAGAGTATTTCAAAATACCCTGTATCCTCCTCCTAAACTATCATATTATCTGTCCTCCATTTCTACTTTGAAATGAGCTGAATTAGGAAATGGAGGAAAGGGAAGGGGATAATTGTGCAAGAAAACACCAAGAGAGGACGGAAACAGTAAATAATAACATTCCACAGTCACGTTCTTATAACCTCAACTTCTTCAATACTGTACAATAGAACTTCATTAATTTTTCTCACACATCTTCACTGTTGTGGTTCTTGGCCCAATAAAGTATTCCCAATTAAAATATACTAGACCCAAAAACCAATTACTGTATTTTGCTCATTTCAATGCAAAGCAGTGGAAAGACTGTTGTCTAATACGCTAACTTTTCCACAAGCAGTGAGTCATGCAAGCTAAGGAGCATGTTCCAACAAAGGTTGCTAGACATACAATAATGCTCTTCCATACACAGTATGATAACTCTAAGGCCATACAGTATATATATATGTAAGAAATGACTTCAGCGACAAGGATCTGACAAGAGAGGCTGCACGAAACCAAGCAGCATAGATAACTACCATAAGGTAATCACAGCTAACCCATGCAAGCATGGCAAATGGCCATAAAACAGTAATGATGTGTAAATTTCCCTTACTCTAAAGGTGAGTCACTCTCTCCTTAAGTCTCCAGATTGTGAGGAATTAGTTGTGTGTCACTCTCTCCTTAAGTCTCCAGATTGTGAGGAATTAGTTATGCAAGTGAAAAAGTGCTAACATGTGATGTATGCACCAAATGGTACCATCTCCATGCAAGTGTATGAGTATTTTCATATGAACTTAACATAATATATCTGCTGGTATTGCAAGCATTGTAATATTAGGGCCACAAACCTTATGCAGACGTTGATCAAAGCCACTGATCAACTGGATAAGAAGATTCAGAAGGTGAATATTAAGAGTAGACAAACTAGAAGATATTAAGATTAAACAGATAATAACTCAGAAAAGAGTATGAAGCATGAAAGAAGAAATTTGATGAGAATAAGATGGAGCAATAAAAGAAGATAGAAGAGATGGTAATTAAGATAATAATTAGAAACAAGAAGACCAAAGGCTAGAGAGGCAACAGAAATAGGTCAGAAGAGAAAGACGAGATAATCAGGATATGAAAGATGAAGAAGCCAGGAAAGTAAATACAGTCATGTACCATGAATTTTGAACAGCATATAAGTGAGAAGATCAACAAGGCAAATGAATGATAGGGTTAGTGGGGAGAGACTTGGTCACATTGACCCAAAAAACTTTTGATGACTGTTCAAGGAAGTAGTCTGACTCCACCTGGAATATGCCAATGTAATTTGTTGCCCTATCAGAAAGACATCACATGAGTGAAAACTGTTAAATGCCAAGCCATGAAAGTGGTCCCAGGGTTAAATGATTTGAGCTACCTGGAAAGGCCAATAGAAGATCGTCTCCTAATACTGATGTATTGCAGACTGAGAGGGGATATGATTGAGGTATTCAAGATGATTAAAGGTGTACTTTATATGACGAAGCAGCCATGATGGTACTTGTCATGGATGATACAGATGGCTTGGTCACAAGAGGACACCCAGACAAGCTGCAGAAACACAGAAGTAGAACTAGCTATGGCAACATTTATTTTTTGCAGTGGATCACAGACCTATGGAAGAGCTTGTCCAACACAGTAGTCAAGGCTCCAAGTATCAAGTCATTCAAGGGAAGACAAACAATATTGGAAAGACCAAGATAGAGTGTATGATTATGAAGCAAATCTGAAAACTACAGATCACAGAAATGTTCATTATTTGTCAGACTTAGATGGTGATCTCGAGACCTTCCTCCAGTACAGTATCATCACATTTTAACTTTATTATGAACAAGATCTAACCAAAGAATGACCTGCTTCAAGCAGGGAGACAGCTAAACTAAAACTTGTTACTGTAAATCCTGTGGAGCAGATGGTGGACAAGGGAGGTACTGCATATGCATTTAGCAAGCAGCTTAGCACCAAGACTCACTAATCACTTAACTCTCCAATTTAACTCTCCCTGTTTAAGAATAATAGTTGCAACATGAGTACTAATTGTTTTCTGGTGCCAGTCACCAATAATAAAGTGTAAGCTTAGGCTGGAGTCCATAAATATGATGGGTTCATGAGTTTCCTTGGACCAATGACAGGATACAAAATTAGGCTTTATTAAGGAAATTTAGGCAAAGCCATACAAGCCACTGATTGGGACATACTTCTGTCATGTAAGAGGCTTCATAAGAGCAAACAGCTGGTCTTATGATTAGTGGTGTTATAGTGAGGAGGTAGATGAAGAAAACCATGAGGAATCTTCCAAATCTTAGATCATTAAGCATCAATGATGCCATCTTCAACTAATTGACAGATGGAAAGTAGTACCAAATATAAATTGTTATCAGATGGAATATTGTAGAATGCTTGGAACAAGTTCCTGATCCTGAAGGACATGAACCCCAACCCCAATTCATCTGATGGTCTTGAACCTGAGAACTTCAGATGAGGATTCATGAGAAGAGGACAGAGTGTTGTTGCCAGTGAGGAAGTGGATTTGTGCTTGAAGGAGGGTGCAGATGTGCCAGGATGCCACCATCTGATAGAAGAGAAGATTGCTTTAAAAGTGTCTCAGGGAAAATGGAGGAAGAAAAGGATGAAAACTTTAAAAGAGTGGACCAATCAAAAGTGAAGGGGTCTCAGGCTATCAGAGTACAGAAATGTAAAGCTCATTCACAGATAAAAAAAAAAGTGGGAGTGATAATTATTCCTATGAAGCAAATGGTCATTTGAAATATGCACTCCTGAAATAGCAAGCTGAAAAAAAAGACACCTTGAAGCTTGACCAGTCGGCCAAGTCCATTTCAGACTTCCCCATACATTCCCCAGACAGTGACGCCTCTATCTTGAGCTTTTTCTCTGTGAACTTTCACCTTATGCGACTTTGATCTGATGATAAAGTAGAAAATACACAAAGGAACAAGAAAGATACAGAGGTGTAACCTTACTCAACTAAGCAATGGGGTTATTGGAGAAGATCATAGAAGCAAAATTAGAAAAGCTGTAAAGATCATAGTGGAAGAGAACTAATAGGAATATAGAAGGTGGGCAAAGACACAGATGAAAGGCTATTTACAGAATAGTAAATAGCTAGTGGAAAGAGAGACCGAGTTCAGAAGAGGTGCAAGAGAGGTTGATTGAGATGTTATGGGCACAAGGAAAGCATGCTGAAAAAAGAATAGTAATGAAAAGGATACCGAGATGGATAATAGTAGAGGGAGTGTAAAAAGGTAAAGTAAAAGTTGCAGAGGATAGAGAAAGAATACTTATATGGTGCAAGGGAAAGGTGGAACAATACATTATGGAGAAAAGAGTAGAGTAAAGCTCACCTATTTAGCCTATTTCCTTTGGAAATATCACACACAATACATATCATAACAGTACTGTACTTAAAAAAAAAAATCATCTTGCAGTTACAATGTAGAAAGTGAATACTGTATGTATGAGAATAAGGTGAAGTAGGTATACTGAAATTGCCAGTCCTGTAAACCTAATGAATGCAAAATATTTATTAAGAAAGTAAAAACAAAATGCAAACCAAACATAATAGTGGGTTATATGCTATAACGAATCTAATTGGTTTTAGAACCTCGTTCGTTATAGCATTCGTTTGTTATAGGGGTAATCCGTTCTAGGCCCCCAAATACAACCACTTAACAATGAAAAATATAATATAAAATTGTAAAAATTGTAAAAAAGTGCATAAATATGCATTTAAACCCCTGAAATAAAGAATATCATTAATACTTGTAATAAAAAATAATAAATTAGTACAAAAAATGATAAAAAATACTGTTCGTTGTAGGAGTTCCGTTCATTATAGCATTCTCAATTTTATAGGTAAAACCGTTCATTATAGGAATATTAGTAGTAGAATCCGTTCGTTATTGCATACCCCACTATATCCAGATGATATTATAATATTTTTAGTTAAATTAGATATGGTTTGGTTGTTTGTGTCATATGTTGCTGTACAGGTTGGATAGCCATTATCCAAAGCGCTTGGGGGCTTTAGGGTCTCGAATTTGGGATATTTTCGGATTTTGGAATACCTATATCCTGCATACAGAACCTGTATAATGAGGTAGCTCACACAGCGGGGATGGGGCCCAAATCTATGCATAAAATTAACTTATATTTCATTTACAGCATAAGGATACATATATTCTGCAGGTAGTGTTATGAAATATAATTTAATCATTTTGGGTATAAAATATATGATAATATGTACAATCAAAGACAAAAGTCGTGTTGCGGTTTTGTCCGAAGATTAAATATAGCTCGTGAAACATTGTGAGAACCCTACCAAAATGAAGAGCGCACCAAAAATTTTAGCCCTTCAGCATATGTTTTCACCAAATTTCACGACACGACTTTTGTCTTTCATTGTAGTACACTAAAGACCCAGAAAAGTAAGCAATCACTACCGTCTGTTTGGCATCGCCACGATGCCCGACTCTGAGGTGCTAAGCAGCCTGTGTCTTACCTCTATTCATTACACACACATACTTACCTTAGTAAAAATTATGATATATGCCATATTCAGTGTATTATCTACCATAAATATAATGAAATAGACTTTCTGATTTCAGAACATTTTGGACTTGAGAACTTCATATAAGGGATACCCAATCTGTAATTGGTTTATGCTTGTAGCTCACCTTGTTAACAGGACTGCAACAAATTGTACTACCGGGTATGCCTATTTCACTTTACTTTCATATGTTTAAACATTTTTATATAATGTCCAGGCACATTTACTTGTTTTTCTATATAACAAAATTTTCTGAGTTATTAATAGCAGGAAATTCTGCTTAATGTTGTGCAGTGCTAATGTGAACATACAAAACTCCCAAAACACATCACATTAATGAGCTGACCCCTCCCCCATTGCTCAAATCCATCAGAGTCTGTCTAATGACCTTACTTGAAATGTGTCTGGTGAAATAACATCAATGATTGGTGTGACTACATGGTTGCGGTGCTCAGAGACTCGAGATAGCAGAGGCTCAATCCAGCCCACATTCACCTCAACGTGGCTGTCCAAGAACACAAGCACCTGTAATGTTGATTCAAATTTATTATTGATATATAATCACCTTGTGAAAGGTTCCATTTATTGTTTTGTTACAGGAGCTGCTTCAACAGCCAATCATCTGCACCATCAACTATTTCAATCACACACTACTGTAGTTGAAACATCAACCTTCCACACCATCAACAATTTGCACCAACTATGCACCATCAATCCTGTACACCACCAACTATTTACTCCATCAATACTACCACCAAAAACATGCTCTACCAACACCATCAACCATCTGCACCACCTACTCCACCAGCATCACCAACCATTTGCTCCACCAATGTAACAACATGCATTATATATACCATATACAGTACAGTCGGTTTCTTATCATATAAATGTCAGTACAGTATTCATAAATTAGAACATTATTCCAAATTTTATGGAGCTAGAAACATGGTGTAAAATAGAGATGAAATTCATATATTTTACCTTTGATATGGAGTCTTTGGACACCAGAATGCTGAGAAACTCATGGATGATATAAAGGTTATCTAACCTTTAACCTAATTTATCAAAATTAACCTTAAAATGCACTGATAAAAAGACAAAAAAAGCTTATCTGTTTAACTAACTAATTTGGGATATGTTCACCAATAACCACACAACACTAAAAACAACTAAATTTTTTGAGCTGGTAATGTTATAAAATGTGTCCAATGACTAGCAAGACACACACCACTCAAATTAAAAAGTTTAATTATGATATACAGACACACAAGAACAACAATAGTTAATTACCTCACCAGTAGCATGTCGAGCACCAAAAACACGTGCTCTGATAAGGCCCTCCCTCTGGGGTGTTTGGAGAACAATGATCTTCTTGCTGATTCCTTCAACCTCATTCAATACTTCAGTATGGTAACTATCTGAAAAATCATAAGGAATTTATTAAAGAGGGAAAGGCATTTCATTCCTGGTGTTATGTGACAGTCCCATATCCTTAAACTTTTTATAAGCAATTTAATTTTAGAATATAAAGCAGTGGAATGCCATGCCAGACACTTCGTACATTTCATCTCTCCAGTAATTATTTATCCCTCGATAAAAAATGGTGAATCTTACTAAAAGTGTAATTGTGCATAAAGTATTGCTATTAAACCAGTTAATAATTTCTATGTGAACATACAATACATGAAGATACCCATCAATATGCATTCAAACATATGCTATTATTCTACAGAGATTATAATCCTACATAACTTACATCAATGAACATTTTGTACTGTACAGTACTGTGTAAACAAACCATTGCATAATGCAGTATAATTACACTAATTAAACATAAAACCCACAAAAACACAAAAAATAAAAAAGAGTGAATAAAAAAATTATTCATATTAATAAATATGGTCTCTGTTGTGTAGCAAGAAACAACAATACAGTATCAACAATACCTCATAAGAAGCTCTGATTTACATTAAATAAAAATATGACTATCAAGATCCTTAGTATCCAAATATTAGTGTTTACCTTCATCTGTATCATCTATCAACAAGATTTCATGAAGGAGGTAAGATGGTGATCGGTCAAGTATGGAATGTATCGTTCGCAGCAATGCTGAATGGTCCTCTCGGTAGAAGCATATAACAATAGATGTAGTTGGAAGCTGAGGTGAATATTCAATATCATTACATCTGTCAGGAATAAATGGGATAAAATGAAGTATTGATCCTGGAATCTTTTTGGTAGAACATACAACCTGCTGGCTCTTGTATGATAAGGCAACTTACTAGGGGTTGTTCATTCCTTAGATAGGGCCTCCTTATGTCAATCACGATTAATCTGTTAGTCCATTTACGTACATAAAACAATCTCTTGTCCATTCTCATCACAAACCGAGCCTCAAATGAGAATAAAAATAAGTATAAAATAATAAATAAATTATCTGACAGATCCCGAAGTATCCCATAAAGGCCAACACTAAGCTTTAGTAGAATATTAGCAGAACTTAAGAGTCAGTCTGTTGCCACCATTCCCTCGGACACTTAATCAGATACCAAATGTAAAATAGGTGGACTTAAATGACATTCCCTTGGATTAAAAAATTATGGAACTTAAATCTTGGCATAGCAAGTGCTGCAGTCATAGCTTTAATGAGACCTTCAGACCTCAGATAACCAATGAATCTTGCTGGCAGTGTGAAGCGATGGGCAGGAATACCCACATGGATGAACAGATTAACCCTGGCTGATGTTGAGAGACCTGTCCAAGGAATCAAGGATCCCAGTTAAGTTGCTCTATTGTACAAGAGCTGTCTGCTTTAAGGGTGATAGCAAGAACTCTATCACCATTTCAATGACAGAGTAATAGAGACAGCAAAACAGAGAAACATAATTTGTTTCAAATCAGTAGCAAGTTACTTCAAAATCAGGATTTATCTAGATCTTTCAAGAGGAAAATTACTATTTCTCTAACTCAAGCTGCTTTATATACAGGGGGTCAATATAAGCTGGTGATTAACAAACTACACTGGTAAATGTAATTCTAATCCCCAGCACTCTTCAACTAAAATCCCTATACATTATATGACTTTATGTAACATGCTGTTTATCCAAGTCTGCATGGCTTTTGGCAGAACTCCTAACTGCCTACTTTTTCTTAGGATGTCACCAGTGATATTCTGCTAAAAATGAAAAACAACAAGAGTAATACAATAGGTCATCGCTTAACGTTGTTTTGATACATCGCTCAACTTAAGACCAAAAATTCGTTTAACATCCCGGTGAACCGATACTACGTAGGTTTTGCGTCGTCACGGACTACTTTCTACGGTGCATCACCCACTCTTGTCTAGCCGTGCTACGCTCTTGAGCTCAGCGCGCTGCCCTCACTCGCAGAATGTCACAGCGTCCCCAAGCCAGTCTCTGTTACTACTTCACATCATTCGTGTGTGCTTAGGTGCTTTTGCTCTAAAACTGTACTGTACTCTTAACCATTCGAAATGGCTTCCAAGCGCCCATCAAGTGCTACTAATGCTAGTGTAGTGAAGAGGCAACGTAAGACTATTACGCTTGCTCCGAAAATGGATGTACAGTCTTAACCCAATTTGAAAAAGGTGAATGTGCTGTGGACATAGCCGCTGTGCTTGGTCTAACCCCCACAACAGTGCGTACTATCCGGACCAACGCTGACAAGATTAAGGTTAGCGTTGGAAATGGTTCTTCACTGAGTGCTACTAAGATGACTCGTACTAGAAGCACTGTGATAGAGAAGGTGGAAATGATGCTGGCAATGTGGATGGAGGACCAGAATCAACGCAATGCCACTGTGAGCCTTATGGTTATCCAGCATAAGGTCAGATCCTTGTTTGACGACTTAAAGGGTGAAGGATCCAAGGAAGAGACCTTTACGGCCAGCCAAGGATGGTTTCAACGATTTAAGCATCGTTATAACTTCCACAATATCAAGATGATTGGTGAAGCTGGCAGTTTAGATACAATTGCTGCCGCGACATTTCCGCCAGAATTCAAACGGATAATCCAGCAAGGAGGTTACTCACCGAAGCAAGTCTTCAATGTGGATGAGACTGGTCTCTTTTGGAAGAGGATGCCCGAGAGGACCTATATCTCCAAGGAGGAGAAAAGAGCGCCAGTGACTTCAAGCTGAAGGCTATGCTGATTCTCGCACTGCCAACCCACGGGCCCTGAAAGGTTATTCTAAGGATCACTTTCCTGTCATTTACAAGGCAAGCAAAAATGCATGGATAACTGGCACCATATATAGCCAATGGTTGAACGTGTACGACGTCCCTGCACTGAAGGAATACTGTGCCAAGGAGAACCTTAACTTCAAAATTCTTCTGATCCTTGACAATGCTCCAGCTCATCCTCCCAATCTCGACGACTTGCATGACAGTGTAAAAGTTGTATTCCTGCCTCCCAACACGACAGCACTGATGCAGCTTGTGGACCAAGGCGTCATCGCTGCATTCAAGGCATATTATTTATGCCGTATCATGACCCAGCTGCTCAAGGCTACAGACGGAGAAAATAAACCAACGATCCGAGAATATTGGCGCGGCTTCAACATTCTTCATGCAATTGACAACATTGGCAAGGCATGGGAAGAGGTTTCAGAAAGTTGCCGGAATGGTGTGTGGCGTAAACTGTGGTTCGAGTGTGTCAAAAGTTTTACGGGATTCACGGACTTAGTCCCAGCTGTGAATAGGAATATCCTCAGCTTGGCTAGACAGGAAGGCTCTGATGAGCTGGAATCAAAGGATATTGAGGACGTCCTGGCATCCCATACAGAAGAGCTCACCAACAAAGCTCTGCAACAATTAACAGAACACAGTCCCATTGACGACGACGACGACAAAGATGAACCTCAACGAACGCTAACTTCAAATAGGTTGGCAGAAATGTTGAACATGTTCCAACAAGCAATGTTTCTAAATGATGACCCAAACAGAGAACGTAGCTCACAGGTTCAACGCAGCATTGAGGACAGTCTTGGTTGCTACACCGAGATCTATAAGGAGAAGATGAGTAGCACCAAGCAGTCAACACTGGATTAATTTTTTCGTCGCGGGACGGCAGAAGGAGCTTCTTCACAACAGCTGGCAGCCGAGGAGGAGCAAACAACAATGGAGGAGGAGCAAACAGTGGCGGAGGAACCCCAGTCAGAGAAGGAGGAGGCAGCCGCAGAGTCTCAGTGACTCGCCAGTCGCCACCCTCCTCCTCCATCGCTCCACTACCCACCACACACTCACTCTACCACCTCCGCCCATTGGTGAGTACCAATACAATCTTAGTACTGTAGTTCTATATACTATTCTTTATTGAAATGGCAATTATTTTCTGTATATGTAACTTTCTTCATGGGGCAAAGGGAGGCTCAGGAACGTAACTCCCGTATTTTATCTATTTTCTTATGGGGAAAATTGATCCGCTTAAGTTGTTTTGCATAACGTGGCATTTTCAGGAACGTAACCCCGAAGTTAAGCGAGGACGCCCTGTACATCTATATCCTGTAGCGTGAAACATGACAACAAATATAATAACATACCTCTTATTCCTGGTGTCTGGTATTGGGCGATGCAATGACAGGCGTGAGGATATTAGTGTATTGAAAGCATGGAGGCGATAACCCTTATCCTTTTCCTGAAAGAGTTTAAGATTGACATTATCTATTACCAGGTATTCTAAATACTGTACTCATGAAAATCTTCTATCTACTTTAGTCTTCACTGTGAGTGGTGTAGTCTCTGGTCTTTACTCTGTCTGTGTGTGTGTGTGTGTGTGGTCTCTAGTCTCTTCTTTGCTATAGTTTACTAACATATTAATACAGCTAACATTGTGTTCCTTAGTCACTGATTAAATCAAACTGACACAGTCCACCTTCAATGATGCTGTAGTATTAAATATATTTTTTTCCAACTATTCATTCATCAACTATTCTACATACTCACATCATACTGATTTCACCTTTTGAAAAAATTATAAGCATAAAAAATTAGCACTAACCATTTGGTCTTCATGCGTCTTCACCAAACCAAGCATAGGTAAGTTGACTTCTTGATCTGCAGGAATTTCATCTCCTAGTTTGTCTTTAATATTTTGTTCATTCCTGTATATTTTATTATCTTCTACTTTTATAATTTCACTTTTACGAAAACTATCGCTGTTTTCATAAATTTTCTTTTTGACTTCAAATGTGTTTTTCTTAATAGGGTTTTTATCAATTTCATTTTCTATGTTATTCCTCTGTGGCTGTTTATAGAAGTTTTCTTTCACTGGTCTTAACTCAGAACGTCCTTCAATTTCTCTGATGCCACTAGATCTAGCAAGTTTTTCACCAGCTATAGCATTTGAACTTTCAGGACCATAAGGCGTAACCCTGTGATGAAACTGAGCTGCAAGGATTGGTTCCTGTAAAAAGACCGAGTAAATAACAAATACAGTAAACAATATCTAATAATGATCTATAATATTCATAGAATGAAAAGTTATAATAATCCTCAGTTTTCAAATACAGTACAGTGATATCTCCGTTAGCTGGAACAATTGGTGCAGAGCACTTCTGGGAATGAGAGAATTCCAGGTAACGAGATGACTCTCTCAAAGCCAGAATAAATCCCTCATCCCCTGAATTTTCCTGATATTGGGAAACTTTTCTCAGAATTGTCCGCAAAATGTGCCCCTCAGAAAATCGTTCCCAAAGACAGAATTTTCCGGAAAATTATGGCTTTGGAAAAATTTTCAGAGAAAATTTCAATTCCGGCTATTGGAGAGTTCCGGGTTTGAGGGATTCTGTCTAACAGATATTATTTTACTGTACTACCAATGAATATACCAGTAATAGTAATTCATACAGTAGTCAAGTATAACATGATAAATGTGATATAAAGTACTGTACTATATAAATAGTAGTAGGCAGCCACCAAACAGGGAGGTACTCCCGCCTGGCAAGATATTGGCATAATGTATTGTCTAATGGTAGACCCTGCTGCCATATGGCATCACAAAAATTGTGACCAAGTCCCAGGTTGCTGATCTGTTTTTCTGCCTCATTTACACACAATTGCAGGGTCTCAATTGTTACTCGTACTATTGACAACACAACATACATACAGTACAGTATATTGTTTCTTGCTTTTGATCTTTTTTTAATTTTCTTATTTCTTTGTGGTTCTTTATTATTATTATTATTATTATTATTATTATTATTATCATTATTATTATTTTGTTTTCATTTTTTTTAATTTCTGATTATAAAATTTATTTACTATGACATTATTATTATTACATTTTCACCCCCAGGGCCCCGAAGTGGGTCGAAGGTTTTGTAAATGGGATTAAGTATACTGTACAGTGTTTATGAATCCCAAATGAACATACAAGTATCTGATTCTGTGACACAATTGTTATAATCTTCAACCGCAGAGTCATAGATTTAGGTGGATTTAATTTTTTTAGGGTAAAAATGAATACATATACATCTTACCTCAGTAAGGGAGAAATAGAGGTATATAATAATGGCCCATGTTAATGAAGCCACCATCATACCAAGAACAAAAGATCTTGCTCTCAAAGATGATCCCATCCCAGCTGAGCCCCCAACCTGAAAAAAATATAGAAGTGAGATTCATAAATCATATTGCACCAGTTTCATGAATCTCTGAAGAACAAAACTACAATACTGTACTCTGATTTAAAAAAAAAATCAGAACATACTTTCTTTGATTTTAGATTAGATTTTTCGTGGTTCCTCCATGGTACTGTACAGCATTCAAAGCATCAAGACAAAAGTGTGATATTCCTCCACCCGATTTACCTTATTCTTGAAGTCAGGAAAATGTTTTCGGTAATCTTATACAGTACTTAATGGGCACAAAATCACGAGCACCTTCACTGACATTGAGAGAGACTGGGAACTTTCCTTATTACAGTATCAGTTACTGTATATGCAGGGTATATACAGTACGTACTACTTTACTACAGTACATCGCTTTATTTAGTTTTCAGAAAATGAAACAAACTAACCTAAACTACATAATACTGCATATTAATTTCCAGGTGAAGCTCAACCTTTGGTAAATGATATTAGGTCCATTTTATAATTAACTTATGAACAATAAATTCTATAAAGGGTAATACTTGACGAGAGTGGTCCGGCCTTAGCAGGTACATTGATGAAATTTCTCCATAGATGACAAAAGTTTTTTACCTTCAGAACCACAAAATGTGCACGAGGTCTGCATTTTGCACCACTTAACCTTTTGTTTTAGTTTTTTTACATTCTCCTGTGCACATAGCAGCTCTCGACCTCTGTCCGCCCACCATGTTTATATACTTTATTTTATCAACTGATTGCATATGGCAGTAATTTCACGTCTCTACGTCCTTTGTAGACAAGAAATAAAATATTTACCTTAATTACGGCACCATCGGATCTCCCGTGGCGACCATGTTTTGGTTCACATTGTCAAGAAACGAACGACGATCTAATTGGGCGTGTTTATTACAATTTACATTTGATTAAATTTGTTCATCTTTTCTAGAGGTGTTTTGATGACAGGATGTAAGAAAATTAAAACAACATTGCACAGGTTAGGAAGTTAGGTATGGTTAAGTCAGGTTCTAATATGTTCTGTGCATTGTCGTTTCCATGTTCTTACTTGGTATCATCCAAACAACATTATCTAAAAAATTTGGTATAATTCCATAAAGTCCTTCTGGGGCTAATCGTCTCCTTCACCATCACCGTATTTTAATAATTTATAATTTCACCATTTGTCAGCTTACTAGCCATCCAGGGCATGAACCCATAGCACTGTAGTGAGAACAGTAACCCAACCAAACATCAAAGGGTTTCTCTAGGTATTCTGGTTTCCTCCTACATTAACATTAGATAATAAAATTCATAATAAAGTAAAAAAAATAACAGACCAGCTACCTGAACGACAAGTAAATTGATAAGTGGTGACGATAAAACAGCAACCACAGCTTACCAATATTGATAAGACCTTTATCACATGCTGGTACAGTACCTTCAGTGTTTCACAAGTTTATTCCTTACCTTCACTTATTTATGACACTTTACCGAGTGTATATGGGTTTCATGCCTTCAAAACACCTACCCAGCACACTAAACTACCCAGCACTCAACCATAGTTTCACTTTCTTAAACAAGAGCCTCACCAAAACATTGTCCGAAAGCCTTGATACAATAACTGAATTATAATTAATGTAGTAACCTATGTGTCCTTTAAACTATAGTTACACTGAAGTGGGTTATAACTTAAATTAGCAATAATTTCATTAAAATCTGAAGTTAAGGGTAATTTAAAAGGATGAGAGCAAGAGTATTAAAGTAAACAAAGTCTCAAACAAACCATCGGACAAGTGGTGGGTGTTGTGTTAGGCGTGTACCTTGGGGTGTGTTCTGGGTTCAGTCCACGGCCCGGGACACATGTGAGAAAGGTGTTTTTAAAGATGTTGATATAATCAAGTTGGTCCTACTAAACATAGACAGACAGATAGATATTTTAAACATCTATATACCTATTTTATGCAGTAAAATCGTTTTACAGGTTTTTAATTTGTTCAGCTTTGCCTCAGGGGAACGAGAGCATCGGCCCCAAAGCTGACAGCAGTCGCAGATATTGACTTTGAGGCAACAGTCGCAGATATTGACTTTGAGGCAACAGTCACTGAATGCCGCATAGATCTGCGGCTCAACTAATTCTACACAGCTAGGGTAGCTACTTATGTATTAGGATAGTTAATTTTAAGGTAATGAAGTGGCGGCGAAGGTGTGGCTATTGGGGGAGGCCGGAGGCCATGTTGAAAAAATAAAAATTATATATACTGCAGGTATATAGTTCAGCTTGTAGATATACAATTTACAATGTACAAATACCTTTACAATATATGTATAAAAAGACTATATAGTGTTTGGTATACAAACACGGAAGAGCTTGCGGAGTCAGGAACCCTGGTTATTTAGCGCAAAAGCCTGCGTAGCCAGGTACTCCTCAAAGGTCCATGCACAAGGCATCGAAGAACCCTACCCAAGCAGAGAACTACAGATCTACTTCACTACTCGAAACACCCGGTAAAATATTGGAAAAAAAATAGTCAATCACAGACTTAGAAATCATCTAGACCAAGAAAACAAATAGTCTCGGGTTATTGAGGAACCAACACAGCAATAGCACTAATATACGAATCAATTGCAAATGCTGCAAGCAAAAGAGATCAATGCAATATAATTCTAAGTAATGTATCAAAAGCATTTGATAAAGTCTGGCACGAAGGACTGAAGCTGAAAATAATCAAACTGGACATGTTTTGTGTTATCCTCTTCACCACTGATCGGCTCGTTAGCCGCTAGGACGATCGGTCACGTCTCTTACTTTTCTCTTTATTTTATCCTCTTCACCAAATGATCGGCTCGTTAGCCGCTTGGGCGATCGGTCACGTCTCTGTTACGCACTGTTGGCAAGTACTGGGCATGTACCGGCTCCTGATTGTACCTGAACCTGCCCCAGTGTTGCCGAGGCCCGGATTATGGGGAGGGCGTACCGGGCTCACGCCCAGGGCCCCCACATCTAGGGCCCTCCCCACATCTAGGGGCCCCCCCCACAACATTGTAATAAAAAAAAAAAGATTTAAAAACTTTTGCCACAGAGCGATAAACAAGTGAAACAGATTGCCTAACACTCGCTGTGCACCAATTACCGTAACTCCACCAGGCCGCCACAAATATTTCCTACTATTCATGTTTGGTGAACTGATTTAACTTATTTAACACAGATTATAATAGAATAATAAAAAGACTGTATAAATAAACGAACACAACACCACACAAACTTTTTCAAGATCCAAAACTAATTCTTCAATCAGCAGTAAATTCGCTGGTTTCCTTGAAATCTTTCGTTGAAAGAAAGCGAAACAGTTTTGATGCCTATGAGGAAAAAGCAAAAGATCTGGCAGGGAGCACTGAGTTTGTCCAATCAGGTCGTCAGAGGCGATCAAACATACAGCTGGCTCCACTGGATTATGGACGTTCAAGTGAAGTGGATCTCAGTCCAAGAGACAATTTTCGAACAAAATGCTTCCTCACAGTCATTGATCACCCAGTGGTATCCCTAAACGAAAGGATTTCTACATACACGTTGGTGAAGGATCGCTTCGGCTTTTTAAGCAATCTGGAAACCATGTCAGGTGATGCCATTCATTCAGCTTCAGAAAACCTTCTGCAAACTTATGGAAAAGATATTGATGAAAACATCTCCAATGAAATGATTCAATTCTCGTCTCTGGTAAAGTTGTATGCAAAAGCCACGGATGAGCCCAGTGAGTCGTTTTATTACAGAACTGTAAAGGAAAGCGATGGCTTACAATCAGCATTTCCAAATATAGAAACGGTTTTGAGGATATAGCTGGTGTTAATTGGTCTCCAATTCTACCGGCAAGGGGGGACCTAATTGAGGTGTATAAACATCTCAGGGGGCACTACTCAGTCGAGTGTCCTTACTTGGAGCTGGCGGACGCTCGTCCAACAAGGGGTCACAGCTCAAGATTGAAGCCGCAAGTCCAGAAAACTGTGAGGGCAAACTTTTTCGGAGTGAGAGTTGTGAACTCTTGGCACAATCTACCAGAAAGTGTTGTGATCCCCCCCCCCTCTATCCCTGCCGCCCTTCCCCCTATCTATTATCAGGTCTTTCTCTCTCTCTTCAGAGTATTCGTCATGACCAACAGTAAGCGGGTCTTAATACGGAACAATTTAAAAAAAGTAGCACTGTGAAATAAAGTCAGTTTCAAGCAACTGTATTTCATTTCTTCTAGAACATCAAAATTCACATCCATAAGTACTCGATTGTAACTAAATATTTATATCAGGTTAATATATCTAAGGTGGCACGCTATGTGAATGAACACGATGAAGTTGACATAAATCTTACCTTCATATAAATCAGTCTCATGTTTTTGCCTTTCAGAGCCATTTTTGCCTCGTAGGAGTGTTACAGTGCACTGTGGCGGAGACTACACGCGCTGGTGTTTGGGTTCAGTTGTGATGTCGTCAGCCTCTACAGTACCGTACGTGTAGCGTATATGTAGAACGTCTAGGGCGCAGGTAGCCACTCAGTCACAATGGGCAAAGGCGTAGGTGGAGTAGATGTCTGCTGGTGGTTTCTCTGCCTTAGCTTACACCTTCATAAATAAGAAAGAAAGAACAATTATCATACCTCAACCATATACAGCACTCAAAACAAGGTCACACAATCAAGGAATGTGCTGTAAGCTACCCCAGGCGTGTCACCTGAGTTTCATTACCAGCCTAAAATGAGATTGTTAAGAGAATACAAAGAAGTGCATCCTGAAACAAATAAATGAATCATATAGGATATTAATTTCATTAGTAAAACACAGATTCTTTTGAGTATTTAAAGTTAGTTAAATTGTATCATTGTGCTTTTGTTGCATGTATAGGTTGTTCATCTACCCGTGTTAAGTATCGTTCACATGGTCTTAATATCTACAACAAAGATACAAAAAATGGCATTGTCAGACTCTATTAACATTCTTTTATATGAGGTGTTCTCCCGGTAGCTTTCACCAGCACCACTCTCCCAGGCGGAAGTGTTGTGACTGTTGATGGAAGTGAAGGTGATAGGGTAGGGTGGACACAAGAGAATATGTGTGAGTGTTGTATACGAGCGGATGAGGGAGGAACAGCTTGTTGGGATCACTATAGAAACATGTTCGGCAAGAAGTGGCCGACCTGACCCTAACCACACTGTCTATAACAAGAGAAAATAAACAAACAGCTTTTAAGATATTAAATTGAAAGTAAGTGAACATTCTACTCAGGGAGAACCTTTCAAAATAGTTTATTGTATACAGTGAGAATAACTGTGAGAAAGAGTATCATGAAAACGAAAGGAGAAGTGGGAAGGATGGCGAGTCAAACGATATTAGCCTCAGGTGTTGGGGAGAGTAAAAATGGAAGGTGTGAAGATTCATCGAGTGAGTCAGCTGGAGGCCCCCTGAGTACTACTCTATAGGACAGGTGTTGGTAGTAATTACGTACACTATAAACCAAAATAGTATATAAAAGACGTGCTCAGTGCCGTGCAGGTAATACATCACGACCTGCCTCCTGGTAAAACAACACTTGTATACGAGTTGTTTTACGAACACACACATTGAATGTTTAGTCAGGTGCGCCATTGCTCCTGACGTATGTACCCAACCCCGGTACACACTCCCTCCACCACGCCTAGCACCTGTACCCCATCACGGTACACACTCACTCCACCACACCTAGCACCTGTACCTCACCACGGCACACGCTCCCTCCACCACGCCTAGCACCTGTACCCCATCACGGTACACACTCACTCACTCACTCCACCACACCTAGCACCTGTACCCCACCCCGGTACACACTCCCTCCACCACGCATAGCACCTGTACCCCATCACGGTACACACTCCCTCCACCACGCATAGCACCTGTACCTCACCACGGTGTATCCGGTAAATTTCTCGAAATCAATTGCCCGAAAGGCAGATTGCTCGAATAGTAGTATTGTAGGTTAATGGAAACAATTGAGGTTTTTTTGGTGTTATATTAATGTTAAATCCAGAAAATGTACAATATCAACAATAGACAATCCAGTGACGAGTATTAACAATTAAGGGAAGGCTGTAAGGCAAGTCTAATGACAATGAATATGGTTGCTATGGGAAGAAAGGGAGAACCACACGTACAGAGAGTAGCCCTGCCACCGTGTGGTAAGTCAGCCCAGAGAGAAAGTGTTGAGGCTCCTCATATAACCTGCTACGTTGACGTGTCGTTAGACGGCGCAGGCGCAGTGCTCAACTGACGTGGTGCTTCGAACTGCTTCAGTATTCAACCGTTAAATAATTGATTTCGAACAATTTACTGTCGAGTTCGAGAAATTATTTCGAGCAATTGATAGTTCGAGAAATTATTTTTCGAGCAATTGATTTCGAGCAATTTACCTAGATTCCTCACCACGGCACACGCTCCCTCCACCACGCCTAACACCTGTACCCCATCACGGTACACACTCCCTCCACCACACTTAGCTTTTAACGGTTTTGTCGGCTGTTCGTGATCGAATTGTCCTACTGTTTACCACTGTTTTATATGACCCCAAGCATAGGTCAAACAGAGCTTCATCAATGTTATCCACCTATACACGAGAATCACCAAGCAACAGTCACAGCTGAGTGTTAATTCCCACATAACCAGGGATTTATAAATGTATCAGTAGACATTAAAAAAATTCAATGACTGATCGCCATACTTGTACACCATTACCACAAAAGGAAAACAGTATCTAACCATAAACGCTTCACTGTAACAAAGATTGTCATAACTTAACGTGTCACATACTAATGAACGCATTACATACCTGGGGAGTGCAATTAAGAGGCTCATAATTAAGTAACACTCGTAGCGCCTGCTCACCCTTAACCACATTGTGAGAAATGGTACAACACTATCTGTAATGGCAAGGTAGCTGACATCTTAAGATTGAATCCACTTTTTTGCACTAAGTAGCTTTATCATTTCCCATGTATAGAACCAAACACACAATGTGCTTGAATACCTCTCACGCAAATATGAATAACAAAGTGTGCGGCCAGACATATTGCCTCACACTCCTGTATTCACGCAGTTGCGAATAAGTTACCCTTTATGTGCAGAACTAAACAAAGAATTTATTTGAAACACACTACATGCAATGCCATAATATCCTCACCACGGGGCTTAGTTATACTGACCCTTTGTGAACCCTACTCTGTAATCCTTTTACGCTACCACTCACAGGATGAGTATGGGGTGCACAATAAACTAGCCGCTGTTAGTGGCAAAATAAAAATCACCCTTTATCTGACGCCATGTGCTCCTCCCTCTCTCCGCCTGGCGCTGACCTAACATAACCAAACCTATCCTAATTACATCTAACCTAACCTTACACGTATCTCCTGTATCACACAGTTATTAGTACATAGTTATGTCCTTTTACAAATGCAGCAAGCAATGTTGAGCCTTATTGCTTTCTGGTCAATTTTCAAGTATTTCATTAGTCATTCCCTTCGTGTTTTAAGTGGTGGGGGTGGCGACAACTGACGTAACTATAACATCTATTGGCCAAGTAATTCTATTTTAATTACCTGACTTTAATCCTGTCTGGAAGACGACTGGGGACCACGTAAATGAGCTTCACGATCCCACATAAAGTCATGAACGCTAGTTTGGGAAGCCCTGGAGTAGGAGGAACATTATATGAATTAAAATGTTCAGGAAATTTTTAAAACTCTTATTCTCGTTGTTTAACAATCCATCCCAACTCTTCCTTACTCTTATTATAAAGTGAGAGTCACTCGGCGCTGACCAGCGATAAGTTGATTCTAATTAATATGAACGAGATTTTTAGTTTTACTGCACTATCTGATCTTGGCCTTCTCTCTCTCTCCCTTAAGCTGACGTTGAGTCACATATAGCACTTGGCCGAGACCCTCATCTCCCTTCCTTAATATCATGAAAATAGTGCCAACACAACCACCGGACAGCGCCTAGAATGCACCTTAAATTCGTAATGATTCTTATAGAACAGAAGCTACACCAAGACGAAAGGCTGACCGGCTTCTCCCAGTGGTGGCGATGTTTCTTGATACGAGGGTAAGAGACGTGCGGTATATAGTACTGTATGGTTGTGTGGAACTAGTGAAGTGTCAATAGGGTTGTCCGACGGCCGCTACACAAACACACACACACACGCACACGCATACACAGTCACACACACAAATACACATCAGAGAAACGTTGTTCCTCTAGGGCTCGGAGCCTCAGACTCTCAAGGGTCCCCCCGTTATTTTTACCTCTAACTGGATTAAAACAAACTCTCTGGGCTACCAAACCGTTTCAGACCAATTTCGACGCTGTTGTGACACCCACCCGAGTGAGTCAGGTAAGGTTAAGGGTCAAAATTAAGCGAATCAATTATCATGAGTCCGAACCTACAATTCATGTTTTTGTAATGTTTATAAGTCAGAGGTCAGATCCGATCTAATAAACCCCAACCTAACCTCACTATTAAGATTAAAACCCGGTTACAATATGTTCCAGTTCTAATGAATACCAATGTTAATGGGTTCCAGTCCTAATGAGTACTAATGTTAATGGGTTAAAGTCATAATGAGTCCAATTCTAATGAATTTCAGTTCAAATAGATCCCAATACCAACGGGTTCCAGTCCTCATGGGCTCTAATACCAATGGGTTCCAGACCTAAGGAATTCCAGTCCGGTTTCAAAGCCCCAAATATTGAAGTGATTTTGCACTTGTTATGAGGCCAGAACGACGTTTCGCTGTATTTTATATTAAGTATCATGATCGTGATAATTCAAAGGTGAAAGATAGGTGTGGCTGTATCGCAGTATCTGGCCTTAGAGTACTGTAAAGCATAATATAGGAAAGTTTTACTGTAACATAACATATACAGAAATGTTTCAGTGCAACATAACACAAGGAAAAGTAGTCGCAATACAATCGTGGATTAGCTTAACTCAGCCAGTTAATTACGTTCTTACATGACGAGTTATGATGAAAATTAAACATTCGAACCCTTTGGGGATCCTAAACGGTGTGTGGAGGGAGTGTGTACCATGGTGAGGTGCAGACGCTTTGGGCCCTCTAGGAAGCCCGGTTCATTTAACTCTTCTGGCTGGCATGTAATATTCAGTGATGCTGGTCTAGTTGTTGGCGTCATATGGGAGATGGTGACGGATTGACAGTAAAGGATGTGAATCGTGTAGTAAGTAGAGGCGTTGAGGACAAAAGGGTGAGAGGGGAAGATGATAGGCGGAGCTGTGAAGGTTACAATATACTGAACGTGACGCTTCCTCAGCTGGTCGCCCTGGCTATCTATATTTGTCTAAAATATGTACAGTATATTATCCGTGACTCCAACACTCGACCCAGTATTATCCCTTGGACTAGAGCAAGGAGGAGCAGTGGACTATTTTCTTAGTAGAGCCAAAGTAGGTGAGGATGACATCTCCAGTGTGCCGCTCTGATAACTTTTGGACATATTTTGTTGCCCAGATTTACTGAGGCAATCTATGGTGATCGAGGTCAACAAGCGAGGAAGTTAACATGTGGTTAGTAAAGATTTGAGCTGGCAACTAGGTCAGTGTACGAACATATCAACGATATGAACACGAGGGCAAAAAAACAATAACGAAATTAGGTGAAAATTAACCTAATCAACAAGACAAAATATAAAGTCTATGAACAGATGTTAAGAGATGTGAGCTATACACGTCAAGCACGACGGAAGTGAGCGTCCCGGACCTTGACGAAGCCTTCCTCCCAACACAATAAAATTTCCCACACCGACATTCACGGATTCCTACACTGGGATGAATAACGAGAAATTACGTTGCAGTCTGGGGAGTGTTCCGTTAATTCATGGTAGAAGGAAGATGGTGGGAGGAATCTGTGTGTTGATGAAGAAAGTAAAAGTCGGTGGTAAAATATTTGTAAGTGATCATATCTTTGTTACGTGTATATGTGTTTTTAAATAGGTGTGTGTGTTTGTGTATGTGTGTGTAGAGGAAGTAAAAATACCGTATGACTATATGTGTTTGGTTCATAGATCACGCGTCAATATTTACCCATCTGATAACAAAGATACGTAGATAACGACACTTGTACTCTGTCTCGGACTATCTGTGTAAATCTAACATAAACCATTATTTGGTATATTCTTCCCATATGTTTAATTAATGTGGCTTTTATCTACGTCATGATAAATTTGTCAAGTAGAACTTTTACTTCACACGAAAGCCCTCACTTAAAAATAAATGACCTCGCGAATCAAAACTTATTCAAGAAGGGTGTGTATTACGTGTTGAGGTATACTGAAGCTGGAGTTGTCTTGAGGGTGGAGGTGTTACTGTATTAAAACTGGGTGGCAGTGAAAGTGGAAAAGCTACATCGGCAACACATTTTATGCTTAAGATTTCAAACATTTGTAAGTTAACACCACATTTTTGGCCATAGTGGAGTCAGTTTATTGCATTATTATAAAACATATTAGTGAAATATTAATATATGAACTTTAGTGAAACCGAAACCAAGTTGGCATAATGCACATAAGGAAGTATCTGACGTCAAGTGGCTGCCTTGAGCAAGTGCTCCGATGCATTGGAGGTGGTGCATTTATCATACCATTACGCTATACACACACTCACCCAGCCCAAACACTATACCGTAAGAAAAAATTGCTAATATGACAAATACAAAAATGTAAGTTCCTCCAGAGAAGAATTCATAGTAATTTTACTTGCAAGGAGAAACCTACATCGTCTTCAGAGGAAAGATGGAAGTGCAAGACAACGGAGGAGTCTGTCTCACGCTGTCCCCTACACGACTCAACAACTGCAATAATATATAAAAAAAAATAATAGATACATGATAATAAAACAAGAAATAATAGAAAAATTCCTGCTGCGAGTTATTAGTGGTACATTTTGGGGAATTTATGGTCAATGTTTTTTTTTTATACCAATGTTGACAACGTTAATGCGATGATTGGTGTATGAGATGTAGTGGGCACTGTCACCAGGTGAGAAGATGATGGTCGACCCATATCTAGCGGTGTTACTGGCCACACACACTCTGTTACCTTCTCACGCACCAAACCGGTAACGTAATGTTGTTTACGTGGGTGTTGGTGTGGATGGCGGGGTGTGGCCGACACGCGCGTGTTTGCGGTGCACCGCTCACCACCACTGTTTTCTCCGTTGTACTATATATCTTTTCATCAACTCTAATAGCATGGTCCATGTTCTCTGATCTACGCTTAACCTCTTGAAAACGATGACATTTAACTTGTTAAGTCATCGTACTCAAGGGGTTAAACCGTCGTACTCAATGTATTAAAACCATTAAACTCAAGGGGTTAGAGTTGACTGTCGTAATTAAAGGGATAAACCATCGTACTCAAGGAGTTAAGACTTTTTTTTTTACTAAAATTCACCAAATGTTTTGATGTTAGTCAATGTAGCAACCACCATCACCACCAATCAATCAATTAAAGTACCGTCCTCACACCTGAAGTTTGGCGCCCACAGTCCTCCACTGGAAACGTTTTCGAGCTGTTTTTACCATCTCTCCGGGAACCCAGTTTTTAATTTAATTTATCCATCCCAGTCTCTACTTTCCCTTGGCTCTCTTACCCTCAACTTTGCCCATTAATATTTGTTATTATCCCCTCGTCCCTAATTATATGACCAAACTATCTCATTTTCTATTTCTGTAAATTTCAAGTATTTATGCCGACTTTTTTTTTAGCCTTGGCATATTAGTTCATTTGTTTTCCTGTCAGTGTAACTTTTTTAACTTTCACCTATTACACATTTCAAAGGCCCCTAACCTCTTTCTGGTGTCTTTTTAGTGTCCACGCTTCTGACCCATACAACAGTCCTGACTATATACAGCATTTCAGCAGCCCTTTTGTCAAATTGTAGTTAATGTCCCTTTTTATTGGTTCTTTTAGATTACTAAATGCTGTTTTTGCTTGACCTGTTTTTGTTATCATTTCTTTTACACATCTACGATCACAACTAATGTTACTTCCCAAATATGCAAACTTTTACATTTGTTTAAATTCCTTGTTGCCTACTATAATTTGTATTCTAGTATTAATTTCCAATTTGGAAACAACTATTACTTTTGTTTTTACAGTATTAACTCTTAAACCACATTCTTCACCCTTTCCCACTAATTTTGCATGATGATCCAAATTAATGAGAATGAATATCCCTAACCTTCTCACTATCAGAAGAGTAATTAACAGGGAGTAGAAATAATTGGGAATAAACAATCGGGTGTAGAGGTCGCTTATACCTTACTCGGGTAGAACCAACACATCACATGTGAGGATGTAAAAAGAGTGTTTAGCAACTATACACTTTCATCCTCTTCATTTAATGTTACGAGATGGGAACTTTAAACCCATCCCAGGTATTTGGAAATGGTCCATTCGCGCCCCCCCCCCCCCACAAAGTAACGCAAATCTGGGCACTAGATGGAGCTATACCTGGTTGGGGTAACTACCATAGCACCTCTGGAATAATGACGATTATTCTCAGGAACAACTTAAGAGTGCCATCCATGGTGTCCACAGAGGCCGATATATCCGTAGCAAATAAGCAACAAAAACAGAGAGGGAAGGGCATAACGTGAAATCATCATTGTTAACATATCTTGACTAGTTTATCATGATACTGGAATATAACCGACAATTGGGTATTTATTTTCACCCACTGTGTCCTTCCTTGTTCACTGTACGTAAATCAATTAATTTAACAAACATGCCATGATGGCATTACCATATGTACACGTAAACTCTGAGATTATAACACATTAAAACTGAAATACGGACACATAAACACAGAGACCCCCCATACACGTTTACGGTGCAATACTAGCACATTGACACGAGGATGTAAACACCACAGCCACTCCACCTGTACGAAGGCGCTGGTGTTAGCCGGGATCTTCCTCGAATTGATTAAGAATATAAAGAAAACACTTCTGAATTTTAACCAAACATATTCACTTAATGCAACTTTAGATCACTACCTTGGGTTCCGCCAGCAGTTCGGGTTCATTCGATGGCGGGAGGAGCGTCTCGCAACATACCACTTTGAGAGGCAAACGCAGACTGATGGTGTTTACTGTTGCGTGTTGCCGTTGGTGTGGCAGCAGTTGGATCGGTTGGAGCCTCTTCAGTTCATCACAACCAAAGACTTATATCTTTCATCACGACTCTCCCTTACAAGTGCAAAATGTTTATCAACTTATTTAACAAAGAGTTTCGGGACGTGGAGAATATATCGGAAAACAGTTAGTGTTGTTTGATCTCATTTTCAGGCTGATGAAAGATGACAGCATAACGAATGAAGATATGAGAAGACAGAGAAGATAGTGGTTGGCTGGTTGATAAAGACATTGTGTTGTATATTACTAAGACCATATACAGTTTTACCCTGTGGGAAATAAGTGAAGGTGGGTCCAAGTACAGTACTGTAAGTGTGATCAGATAGTTAAGACTGTAAGGGATGATCAGACGTCGTACTTAACAATCTGTGGAAGGCAATGAATTCTCACAACTGCGAAAAAAAAGTAAAACAGAAGTAATTAATTGTCGAAAGCAGAGTCTTCTGTAGTTTTGTTTACAGCGAAGTGTATTCCTTTCCAACACTGGTATCAGTCTGGTGAATCCTTAAGTTATTGTACAGTGATGGGGACAGCGACACAACTCTTGAGTAAGTTGAGTTCTGAGCAAATAGTTACCCCAAGGATTAATCTCAGGGTTCTTCATTGCAGAAATTTGCTTGAACATGTGGAAGGGATTGTGACTGTTTGTGAGAATATAAAAAATAATTAAATTTACCTGGCGAGTAACTTGTACACTACCTTAATGTTATACAGTACCATAGCGAGCGGGCAATTCACTTTATAACGTGTGTCCCGTTGATCAACCTAGGATATAAGGCTTGTCCAGTTGTCTCTCAAAGGCCGACATGATAGGAGACCCGATCATCTGCTCAAGTAAAGTCAGCTAAGTGTCCAAAAAACTCAGTGAAATGTTTTGCAAAAATTTAGTTTGTTCATGTGTCTTAGTTGAAAAGTGTGACTTTTGGTATTGCCATTATATTGTGCAGAAGGGGGTACTTTTTTTTTGCATCATCTTCAGCGGCTGAATCATATATCCAAGTATTCTGGGAACATTGCTAATGTAATCTTCAGCGTTTTCAGCGGTCTTTATAATTCAAACTCTTCAGCTCGGGTATAAGTTTTAATGTCCGTCTCAACACTTTCGACTCACTGGACGTCTTTCTTTATGATGTGAGAGACACAGAGGATGAAGGACGGGGAAGTAGGCGAATATACAGTAAAAACAAATGAGACAGGTAGGGATTGGAGGCAGGCCTGAGTGTGTATGTGTGGACGTGAGTGTGCATGGGAGGGAGGTTCCACAAGAACATTACTTAATCCTGGGAGCGATGTCGGGAAGCGTAGAAAATGAGTTGGCAAAACGACGAACTCAACAAAGATTTTACTAGAGTGGTGAGTTTCTCTGATTCACTTAATTGTATCGTTAATCTCTCCACACACGTACTATTGTTTTACTACTTCAAGCTGGGGAAGGGAAGAAAATGGGGAGCATTGACACCTACCCCTCCATCACCATGACTGTGGTTATGAGAGACCAGAGAGAGGTAGCGGAAACCCCCCTCTCTCTCGATGGGACAATCAGCACTCATCATACATCAGCCAGCCATCAGTACATAAGCGCTGTGGAATGTGTGAAGCATACAAGGAAGCGAGCAAGCAATGTAGTGGTTCTTAACTCGCGACTCTTCTGCAGAAACTCGTATGAGAGGAAAAAAAAACAAATACAACGCGGAACAAATAATTAAGATGTATGGGAAAAGAATAAATGTGTGTATAATTAACATAACAAAAGACAACACCGAGGAAATTGAATAGATTTTCATTGTTTGATGGAATTACATTAACGGGCTACATTGAAACCACAGTAAAATGTTTTGGTTAGCCGGGAGGAGGAAGAGAGGAAGGAGGAGGAGGAGTAGGAGGAAGAGGAGAAGATAAATGAGGAAATATGAAAAGAGCCTCAGTCAGGAGGACATCAGTAATACAAACAGTTGAATATAGACAAGTTAATAGTTAGCGTCACATGGCTATGCCACACACACACACACACACACACGAGTACAAGAAAAATATTATGAACCAGTCCAGGACGTAATGACCTCCCTTGAGGGCCAGCAGGTACTACCTTCCCCAGTGCCAGCAGGAGTACTACCTTCCCCAGGGCCAGCAGGAGTACTGCCTCCCTCAGGGCCAGCAGGAATACTACCTTCCCCAGTGCCAGCAGGAGTACTACCTTCCCCAGGGCCAGCAGGAGTACTACCTCCCTCAGGGCCAGCAGGAATACTACCTCCCTCAGGGCCAGCAGGAGTACTACCTCCCCCAGGGCCAGCAGGAGTATTACCTCCCCCAGGTCTAGCAGGAGTACTACCTTCCCCAGGGCCAGCAGGAGCAGGGCGCCAGGAGAGGTGGGGGAACACAACATCACCCAGGGAGGTAAACAGCCGGTGATGGTCTCCGCCAAGTCCTCAGGTAATGTCATAACGATAAAAAAAACAAAAAACAAGACGCTACCTTTTTCATCACTCGTGAGACTGATGACATATAATTTTACCGCGTTTGTTCAAGTTACCGTGAATTCTCGCATATGCAGCCAGCCAGTGACAATGACCCCAGAGTGACGAGTACATTTACAAGTACTGCCTGAAGGAGGAAGAGGAAGAGACTAGCATATACTACATACAGTAACGGGAGTACTTCTTGTGGCTTGGTATATACTGACGCGTTGAAGTTACTAAAGTTCTGTATTTTTATTTCCATCGAGTGTAAGTGTTAGAGATAAAGGCCCAGATTATTAAAGTTTCTGACGATAAACTTTTTCTTTCTATCTAGCAATATGAGCACACATTTCAATGGCTTACTTGGGCTACACCACAAAGTTGACGGTACAAAATTACAGCGAAATTGCTCCCAAACTACCGTAAGTGTGTGTGTTCTGTTATCCCCAGTTACGCGTGAACATCTTGACAAAATAACTGAAAAATTCATCATATTTGTTTATTAATTCCGATTACTGTTCTGTTTTTTCTAACCCTATAAAGATGTATATTTTATCCCGAAACATCAATAGAGAAATTATACATAAGTAATGGGTCCTTTTGTGCAGTAGCCAAAACGACTCTCCTGCACAGTTAGTTGTTTTAGCTACTGTACATATTATTAGGTTTTTATAATGATTTTCCTTCGATTATGAGCTTTGAACACTAACTAAAAACATAAGTTGAGTTCTCCCTGGCGGTTCACTTCCGTATGTGCTAAAGATGATCACGTAACAAATCGACTGTGAGGGATAATTAAGGTGATGATGTGCTATCAAGCCTCCTCACTTGTTCTGGCAGGATGACGGACACAGTTATAAAACCACGAGAGTCGTTACTGGCAGCTGTGTGGGTCAACGCCTCTCCCCCACACCCTCCTACTTCCACCTTTCACTCCCCACTCTCTCCTCGCCCTTTCACTCCCCACACTCCCCCCGCTCTTTCACTACCCACACTCTCTCTCCACACTCTTTCACTCCCCACACTCTTTCCACTCTCCGCCCTTTCACACTTTAAGTACATTTTCAGGTATCTTTTGTTACCACGATACGTCCATTAATATAAAGCAAATCTTGATGTTCAACTGTAGGAGTCTATTTGTTCAACTCTCCATTTCTGTTTTTCACCATTTACACAACTTTCCTTGATATCGTTCAAACTTTCTATAATACACCAGTTCCCTTTATAAAATTACCTTTCGTTACCCTTCTCTTCATTATAGTTGTATTTCTTTTCTGTTTCACTATTTTTCCATTAATTTTCCTGTATTGGTTTCCCTTCACCACCTGTTCCTCCGAGACACATTTTCGTTCGAGCCACCATACCAGCTATCTAATTATCTACACCATTTCATTAGTTTCATTTGGATTTTTACTATTTTGTTTTCCGCTCTCACTGTGTTTCCTGTGTTAGTTTATTTCGTTTGATCTTTGCAATACATGCTGCTTAACAAAGGCAAAAAGCGTCCTGTCACTCAGCCTAACCTATTCTGTCATCTTCCTTTCCTCCCAGACCGACAAAAACATACCAGTAACTGTAGTAGCAACAGCAAAATGCTCTCGGGGGGACAACATTGTTCACTGTTTGTGCTAATTTCATCAAATGTGTAATAGAGTTAAGCAAATGTACCGCTATCCATAGGAAAGTAATTAGAATCATATAGAACTCGACCCAAACATTACTAATAAAGAACGTCAGGGCAGACACCGGGGTAGCGCTTATTCCTGCTAAAGTCAAGCTAAAAACATATACCTCTACTGTAATCCAGACTGACAATGGTACATAGAGCATGAATTTCTCGTCATTTTTGATTACTGGTGATGCACGAGGGCCAATTGGTTAATGTTTGTATCTCTACGCCCTCATGTGGCCAAAGACTGAGAGGACGTAACTACGTATACCTAATTAAATAAAATTAAGGTAGGTTAGGTTAGCAATTACGCTGTTCATATTCATTTTGGGTTTCAATTTTAAATTCCATTCCTGTCCATGTTTTCAGCTTATCTAAATCCCATTTATATTATACAACATGTTTTCTTAAAATTTCAAGTCTTGGCCTCAATAGTCTCATTTTACTGGGACACGATCTGACAAAATCTTTCCTTGGGTAGGTCCCTCGTAATGTTTAGTAAAAGCTGGATTTGTGGAACCAAAGTTAGTGAAAAAGCTAAAAAAAAAAATGGATGTGATCGTGGTGTCACCCTCAATATGATGTAATCAGACATTACGTACTGAACTCTGAACTCTTTGCGGTGATACTGGCTGTGACTGTGACCCTTAGATATGCCAAGTAATATTACAAGAAATAAATATACCGTATATTAGTCAATTAACAGAAAACGGGATCAGCGTCACAACAGTTTGGTGATGTTTATCTCCGCCCCGCTGAACATCGTATGCCTCGATTCCATAAAAAATAAACACACCCAAGACCCAAGGTAACGGCAGTGGTTGTGACGGCGAGGACAGCGGGAACGCAACAAGGCCCACCTGGCCACCAGTGTAGGTGCGTGTTGACTTGTGAGGGAGTCACCGTTACACTACTGTACTCTATGGCAGTAGTGCGAGGGAAACGCAATTGGGCTGTGACGTTCTCACTGTTGACGCGACAAGTACTGTAACCTTCATTGGATAAATACACGTGACGGTATCCCAGCTGGAGTTATTTTAGGCAGTGAAACGAAGCATGGTCATTGTTATACCAAAGATTCTACATTCAATAAGATGTATCACTTTCGTTTTGATTACAGTTACGCCACAAGGCTGGGCCTGAGTGACGCATCTTATTACTGTACTTTACCCTTTTCACCACTGATCGGCTCGTTAGGCTCTTGGGGCGGTCGGTAACGTCTCTGTTACGCACTGTTGGCAAGAACTGGGCATGTACTGCATCCAGGATGTATCTGTACCTGCGCCAGTATTGGTCAAGTCTGATATTGAATTAGCTCACACTCGGTGCCGTCACAATGCTCTCTGACAGATTGTTCCAGAATTCACAACCTTCACTCCACAAAAGTTTGCTCGGGCAGTTTTCTGAACTTGTGGCTTCTTCAACCTTATCCTCTGATGTGTTTTTAAAAATCTATTAAATCAACTCTTTCCCGCTTATAATATAAGCTAGGCAATTGCAGACGTTCTAATCTCCTTCGGTACCTGAGATGCCGTAGTCTAGGCATCATCCTGATGGCCCTCCTTTGAAGAGCATTTCAGGGACGGACCATCAAGGGAACGCCCTTCTTATAAGTCCTACTAGGATTTGCAAGTTGTTGAAAAGTTTGGATGTGTGTAGAACAACTGAAAATGATTCATCAAAGTATCTCAACACAGATGACCATTAATTTGAGTGTTTGTAAATATGTGTGTATGTGTGTGTGCGTGTGTGTGTACGTACACCTTACAGTATGTAATTGTATGGGATCATGTACTGTACCGTATATATACTACGAGTGGGCGTGAGTGTGCGTATAATTACTTTTACTTATTTTTTACCTTTATATTTTATCTTCTACTGTATGTGAAATCTAATGTACCCAAGCGTGAGAGACTAAGAGTGTAACTGTAAGGCGTCACCACAAGATGAGAGCAATATACCTCACCTATGTCAACACCTACTCAATAAACACTTTAATCACCCCAGTACAGTACACCAATGTTACCTCTCGCCTCTTTATTACTCCGCGTTTTCTATAACTGTAACTGTATGTTGTGGTGGGTGTATTGTATTTTGTCCTGCGTGTGGTCTACAGTAGTGTTGATGATTAGTGAGCAGCGTTTATGGGTGGTTCACTGAGGTTAGATAATATCAGGTGGTAACTGGTAAGGTATGTTGGCTTACAGTAGTGGCCGAGCTGTAGGGAAGCTGGGAGGTTTTTTTTTTTTGGTCACAGTGTGGTGTATTGGAATAAAGATTTGAAATAGAGGATACATGCCTTTGGTATAGCGAGTAAACACGGTTTGGTAACGCGACAAAAGGATCACAACTAAATTTAGCAATTAGGATAGATTAAGCCCTTCAGGACTGGGAATCGTTCAACCTAGTCACCAATGGCTTGAAGTCGTGGATCTTTAATTAATTATCAACCTGACCTTTGCAAAAAACAACAACAGATAAACTTCTTTCATTGTTCACAAGTACAGTCAACAAAAAAGTATCGACCACCCTGGCATGTGTAACGATATGAAACATCGTGCGAAAACTGTCACGTAAAAGCAATCTGTGGTTACCGGCGTCAGTTGGTTCAACTTGGTTGTTATCGCTCATTTTCTATTCCACCGACCTTGGGGTGGTCGATACTTATTTTATTGATATTGTACATTGATGTTATAGCATATTTAGGTTAGGATTAATATAGGTTGGGTTAGGTTAACTTGTAGCCGAGTAGAACACCACAAATGTGGAGAGACTTAATAAACGCGAGTAACAGAATATAGTAACGTTTACATAACCTCCGACCTGACAATTCGCCTTTAAAAAAAAACGCAAAGAGCACAGGTACAAACTGAAGGAGCTATGCAACGACCCATGATATGGAAATGCTCAACTAAAGATCAGAAGAAGCTATGTAGTCAGAGTACAGGAAGATAGGAAAGTCGAAGTAATGTATCAGCCCTACCACTAAATGGGAGCAAGAGGCGAATCAACTGTGATTAATGTTAACATAGTGCATGCTACTACTAACCCAGTGAGAACAAATGATCTAGAATCAGTCTTCAAAAAGGACAGTCCAAGAAACCGGGCCAATCAAGTGTTGGTACACAAATGCTAGAAGTCTATTTAATAAGAATGATGTACTGTATTGAGTGCAGGTGCGGACACAGAACAACCAGACATCATTGGAACTAGCGAGTACTGGAATCAAAATGTGTTGCAGGATGATTATTTTCACCGGGGTTACACACTATTTAGAAGAGACATGGGCACATGAGGAGTCTCTGGTGGACGAAGTCCACGTCGAGGAGAAACTAACTCCACCATCGACCACTACATACAAAGATGGAATACAATCTTTGATTAATGAGAGAAAGTAATTGAGGAGCAATATTATGACTTCAACCATGGAGATTACCAGCTCATGAGAGACAAACTACAAATAAATAGCTAGGAGGAAATCGTTAAAGAGGAGTCAGACATAAACTAATCAACGCAAAACTTCATGAAAATCCTAGAGTTAACAGTAGAGACGTGTATACCCAGGAAAACAAAGAGAAGAGGAATCAAGTCCAGGTGGATGAATATCACCTCTTGGAAAACCTGCAAGAGAAAATACCAGATGTGGAAGAAATACTGGAGTGAATAATAGATAACAATTCAGACTTAAAACTGTTAACTAGTGGCAACAAATTGAAACTCTCTCTGCTATACATCTTAAATTTTTATTTTCGTTCTTTCTCATCCCATTCCTCACTTTGCCTTACCCCCTTCTTTTATCCTCTTCGCCTCTGATCGGCTCGTTAGCCGCTTGGGCGATCGGTCACGTCTCTGTCACGCACTGTTGGCAAGTACTAGGCATGTACTGGCTCTCTGTCACGCACTGTTGGCAAGTACTGGGCATGTACTGGCTCTCTGTTAAGCACTGTTGGCAGGTACTGGGCATGCACCGGTGACCTAATCCCTTAAATATGGCCTATAGATAGCGTTGCACTCAGGAGGCCAAGTTATCGTCCTCAAGGGGTTAATTATTATTCTATTAACATTAGGGTGATTAATCTTTAGTTGAAATAAGCTGGGGTGGAGATTCTTCAGGTGATCCAATATTTTTTTCCAGGTCGTTTGCTGTGAAAAAGATCGCTGGATTTGTTCACCAACGAGACATTCGCTGGGGGTGTTTGCTGCCTTGGCTTTGTTTACACCTCAGCAGTGACAACAAGGTGGCATGGACACTAGATAATAAAGCTTTAGTAAGTAAAGTGTTATTATTTGCTTCGTACATATTAAAATATTGGCATGCACGCAAATTAATATAGAAAATAGTTTTTTTTTGGTGTTTTTCATTGTTTCATACGAATTTAACCTTCATATCCATCGGAAATGAGAAGCTATGGAGATATGATCCTCCCCTCAATTACCAAAATTGTAGAATAAAAACACGAAAAACGACTCGCAAATATCAGTATACCTTTCTAACTTAACCTAACCAGAGAACCCTGAAGGACATGACCTCCCCTTTCTGGGATATTGCATAAATTGCCTTTCACTGAATGTCGAAAATTTTATCATTGAAAATAAGAAAATAAGGAGTTTGCAATAGGCCGGTTGGCTTGTGCATGGCAGCTCCTGGAATTAATAGTTCAGACAATTCTCTGACACTTTTCTTATATGACGTTACTTTTATTGGTACCAAATATCAAAGTACGTACTCTCTGTTTAATATGACGCCCCCCCGGCCAGGAAGTTAGGTAAGGTTGGGTAGGTTTCTTTGGTTAGTTAGGTCGGGCCAGGTCACGTTCTATTAGGTTTTGTACATTGTCATATAACTTTTATTACTTACTATCATACTATCATCCAAAGAACATCTATGGAAAAAATGAATGAAATCGAACTATGCGGTCTGATATTAGTCATCTGCTCCAGGATTACCTTTCTCTTTCTTTCTTAGCTCTATCTCCATATATATAAGAATGAATTGAGTTCCATGCATGGCAAGTATGGAATAGTAACTTTTTTATTATTTATGATATTAATTGTAAAGAGTGTTGTTGCGATCCATTTTAACACATTGTTTGTTTAGAGAGGAGAGCAGCAGAAAGAGTTACCGTGTATAATATACGTTTTATGCCCAACCAGGAATTCTATTACTAAAATAGGTTTCCTTATATTTTTATTTGAATGGGCATGGCCACCATTTTGGTATGTACTTGATAAACTCTTCGGTATTATTTTCTTTTGGACATAGCGCCCCCGAAAGTTATAAACAACTGAAACATTTAGGTCTTGCTATTCTGAGCATTTTGAATCCCATATATACATTACGTGGCGGAAATGGATAATAGCGACACAATTGAATTTAATTGATTTTAAGTAGTTATAAGTCTTCGTCTGTGAGATGTAATCTGCGCATTGTTGACTGACGTCATCCAGTCGTGACCAATGAGGTATTTATATCATCACGTGAATTTTTTTCGACCAATCACGTTTGATTTTTCTCAAAGGAAGCATCCTGGGTATGATTTTAATTTCATTGACAGTTTCACAATGGCCGTGGTGGAGGTAGGTTGTCATTTGTGCTCCTACGATTATTTTAAGTTTATTGCTGAGTTTTACGAGGGTTAGGATAATAAGGTCATATTAGATGAGAGATTAAACAAATAATAACGTTTTTTTTAAGAGTTGCTGCATAAGTGTAATTGTTTAACATTTTTATTGGTTAGGCTAGGTAAGAATTTTTTTTGTATGTACTGTATTAATATTTATACTTAATCTTTTACACAAGTGATTATATACATTATACTACAATTCGGAACAGACAAGCAAAACAGGAAAAAGTGAAGAAAGTGTAGAGAAGAGCAAGAAATGTTGGTTGTGAGGGGCCGTACTCTAGATTCATACAGTGCTATAATTATACTAACTCTCATGATGGATAGACATTAAAAAGTGATTAATCCATCACTAGTACAGTAAAATCTTTTATTTATCTTTGCCTTTTAGTGAACAATTGATGTTATATAAGATCTATAATACCATACACAGTTCATGGGGTAATGGATTGCCTCAGCAGTTCCTGGATGATAACACTATTTTTCCACTACATAGATACAATTTTGCTTGATTTTGCATTCTCTCATAGGAATGAGTAAGTTTTTAATTTTCAATAATTTATATTACTGTAGTTTGAGCACCTATATGAGTGGTGGTGTCAGAGCTTGGAAGTCTCAGTAAGAGAAAATTTTAAAGTAACATACAGTATATATATTTTTTTATTTTTCAGGAATCATAATATCTTCAGACAAAATGGAGGAGGAATCAACAAAAGCAGGCACTACTAATAAGGAAATTGTTGCTGCTCCAAAGAGAGAAAGAAAAATATTCCGTCCTACTCGTAATGTTGTCAAGGGGGTCCCGACTGAAATAGAAAATGACCCCAAACTTAAACTAGCTATGGACGTTTTACCAAAAAATTATAATTTTGAAATCCCTAAAACAATCTGGAGAATCAAACAGGCTAAATCAAAACATGTTGCACTTCAGTTTCCTGAGGGATTATTAATATTTGCAACAACAATTGCCGATATAATCGAGTCATGGACAGAAGCAGATACTACAATAATGGGAGATGTAACATATGGAGCTTGTTGTGTGGATGACTTTACAGCCCGAGCCATCGGTGCAGATTTTATGGTTCATTATGGTCACTCTTGTCTTATCCCAATAGATCAGACAGGTTCAATTCCATGTCTTTATGTATTTGTTGATATCCAGTTTGATACAGTTCACCTTATAGACAACATCAAATCTGTTTTCCCTTCAACAGTGCCATTAGCCTTAGTGTCAATTATTCAGTTCGTCAGCTCACTCCAAAAAATGGCCCAAGAACTTAAGAGTTGTGGGTACACAGTGTGTGTCCCACAGTGTCGACCACTGTCTCCTGGAGAGGTTCTTGGCTGTACTTCACCTCCTGTTCCAGAGGGCCATACTATCATATGCCTTGGTGATGGAAGATTCCACTTAGAGTCCATAATGATCTCAAATCCAGAAATTCCTACTTATTTGTAAGTAATATTCTGTACTACTAAATCCTATCACAAAATATATGACACTATTTTATTGAATATTTTCTTCATCTTATATACTGTACTATAAGTTTGACTACAGTACCTAGATAGAATTTTCTCGACTAGTTCACAAACTACCCGAGATATTAAAATATTTTAATTCTGCTTTAAAAGTCGAGCTTGCTCTGATTTTACAGATTCTGGCTCTTATCAATTAATTCTAGGTAAACAGTATAGTACATGTATTTTGCAAAAAATAAGTACAGTATTTACCTTTGCTATACTGTACCTGTATTTATTTTATTATAGGTACAATCCTTACTCAAAGATCCTATCAAGAGAGTACTACGACCAACCATTGATGAAGAAAATTCGCAAAGAAGCCATTGATAAAGCAAGCAAGGCAAAAAAATGGGGACTAATATTGGGAACTCTAGGTAGACAAGGCAGCACCAAAGTTCTTGAAAACCTTCAGGTAATTTGTAATCTTTTCCCATTAGTTATGGGTTATATTTTTGTTAGAATGATTTGGTGGGTGCTAACTCCCTTTGTCCTCAACTCACATCAATGTCTCCATATCACAAGTCATAGCGTGTCCTGTGAGACAAGAGTACCTGACAGCAATGGTCTTGTGAAGGCTTGTTTCCCCCTGGGGTGGAATAAATTAATTAAATAAATTATTGTTAGAATGATTCACGAGAAAGCAGTCAAATTATAAACTTAAATAATATACAAATTATTTCAATTTCAGAAACAGTTATCAGCTACAGGAAAAGAGTTTGTCATTGTGCTACTGTCAGAGATCTTCCCAGCAAAGTTAGCTGCCATGAGTGATGTGGAAGCATGGGTACAGGTGGCATGCCCTCGACTTTCTATTGATTGGGGTGCTTCTTTCCCCCATCCACTTCTAAATCCATATGAGGCAACTGTGGCCCTCAAACATGCTGAATGGCATGTCCAACATTACCCAATGGACTTTTATGCAAACGAAAGCTTAGGAGAGTGGACCCCTAATCACAAACCTCCTTGTCCTTGTGGATTCAAAAGGAGTACTGGTTGCAAAGGACCAAGGTGTCCAGCAGCACCGAATAAATAAATTATTCAAATGAGCACCGCTTCAAATGTAATATATGTGGAAATGTACAATGTATTGTATTATTATCACTACGGTATTTAAATTATTACTTTACACGTTTTTTTTCTCCTTAGAAACCTTGTGATAAGTCATCATCATTGTTTTATAGCCATTTTCCACACTAGCACGAGTTACCAGCGGTTACCTGATTGCAGCTCTTCATGCTGCACAATCTCGTCAGGTTTCTAAATCTAATTAACTTCTTACAATCTCCCATGTCATTCTTGGCTTACCCCTGGCTCTCCTCCCCTCCTAATTTAGGCTAATGCATTTCTTGATCCAATTGGTCTCGTCCATTCTTTCCATATGCCTACACCATCTTAGCCTGCCTTTAAGTAGGACTTTGCTTATACAGTTTGTACTCTCAATATCCAGCCACCCTCTTAGCTCTGAACAGTATAATACCGGAGTTGACAACTACTGGTACCGGTAATATCCCTTCCAGCACATTTCTATAAAGCAAAAATGGTAATGTACGAAATATAAAAGTTAATATTTTGTTTAATACATATACAGGTACTGTACTGTACATTGGAAATCACTGCCTTAGTACAGTATACACTGTTTACACCTCATCCACTGTGGAATTAAAGCTCATCTCGTATGCCGTTTATTAGATTATCTGAAGGTACAGCTTCAGTATACTTTTAACTTGTGCTTCAGCTCCTGCCAAGAAATAGGGAACAAGTATTTGTACTCCAACCCACACTTCACACAACACCTGGACCTGGAGTGTACGGGTACTCTGAAAAAATGGCCCAGGAAAAAATAGTACAGGAATAGAAGGCAAACCGTCAAACTTGAGAAAATGGTAAAAAAATATATTTTGTTTTTTGCACAATTTTCAAATACTGTACGGTATAATATACCCAGTATCAATGCCAAAAGAAATATCACAAGATTTCATTTCACTGGTTGCCCATCATTTGAACAACAATTGAACAAGCTACAGGTATCAAAGCTGTCCTCAGTAATGAAGTGACCTGCCGTGGCTGCTCCTACCATCTGACACATGCAACCTGAAGAAAAATCAAAGAACTCGGCCTATCAACACTACAACCTGTTCTGTGGGATTTAGGTGGTAGACAGCCTTGCTCTCCTCCATCTTAAGGACATACCCACTGGCATCAACCACCCCAAATAACACACACCAAATGGCATGGAACCCTTCCTCACATACGTAATATACTTTGACGAGACCTACGTGACAGGCAGCTATCGACGAGCACAACAATTGCAGGTGTTAAACCTGCATTGCATCCCTCCATGCTACCCTCCAGAAATGTGGAATGTTCATGATCCAACACTCAGTGATGAATAACAGATGAACAACCTCTGTGAGGGATGGAACTGATACAACAGATTGGTTGGTCACAGCCACCCACCTGTCTGGGGCTCTGTCCAGAGGATCAAAGCTGATCATACTCCAATGTCCTCTCAAATTCTCAAGGAGTCTCATGGTGAGCCACCCAAGAAAAGTCAAAGGCAGGTTTACAAGAACTTTCAGTTGAGGCTGAAAGCCCTCTGCCAGGATCATCGAACCAGCTGCAAGTCAGTTGAAGAGTTCCTCCAAGGTGGAGGCATACTCCCTGTATTATGTGTTAGCATACTAACTCACAATAAAAAAAAAACATTTGTTTGTCATTTTTACCTATTTTGACAAATGTGAAGAAGAAAAATCATAAAAAAAACCTAGTTTGACAGTTATGCCATATTTTCCTGTACTGTACCATTTTTCATACATTCTGCCTGGAGTCACTGTGCGAAGGGCTGTGGTTTATAATATGAGCAGGGGTCAAAAGTGGGTCCCATAGGTATAACTGCCCATTTGGGATAGTGTGGATATAGCACACTGTATAAGGTTTTGGTACACAAGGATGCAGCATGGTACCCAATTACAGCTTGGTGAACTGGGAGTGTCTAGGGATCTAACCACCGATGCACGAAACAGGAGGCGAGGATTTCAGATAGTCTGGATCCTTTCCGGGCAAGAAACATTTATCCGAGCCCCTAAATATTTGTAGCTTGAAATTCCCACCATGTGGTTCTTTGAAATTTCCACCAGCAAGCGATCCGTTGAGGCCTTTCTCCTTCTCTCAGACCCGTGAGTAAGCTGTTTATTCCCCCACCTTGAGAATGGATTCACCCATAAGCTACACTGTGATTGGTTCGCTCACTCACCACAGAAAAATGTCAAGATTTTAGGTAAAATAATTTAAACAATGGTGATGGTAATCCTCCCGGGAAGAGAGCAGAAGAAGGGCGCATAGTGCAGTATTACATCATCCATCATAGTCCATCATAAGTCTCCATTATTTTGAAGTTAAATTACAAATTATATATCGTATAAAATTATCATTGTACTGCAATCATTTCGTTTGTTATGATTTTTATTGGGTTATACAGTACTAGTACTGTAATCATTATGTACACCAAAGATTGTCATTAGAAACATATTTTTGAGATTTTTTTTCATAGGAATGTATATTGGCTTTTATAATGGGGATCTATGGGAAAAGAGAATTCAATTCATAAAAACATTAGTTACAAAAGGTTTTCAGGAACTGAACCATTTCATAAATTAGGGACCACCTGTACTGTACAATCTAGATGGTGGCTGTCTAATTAAAATCAGGCACACAGAAAGTAAAACATGAATGAATGAGTACAACATGTAGTAGTTATCATAAGCAGGGTGTTATATGCCTTAAAAATATCTGAAAGGATGATGATAACAAATGGAAGTGTGAGACAGTGGGGCAGAACTAACACCCACAGCACAGTGATGATGGTGTTTCAAGGAGATATTGCACAAGATCTTCTTGCCTTGAATCATAGTTAAAAGTGGACAAAAAAAACTATTTTCAAATAGACAACAGCTATCAATTCAAGTTGATATTTTATATTAAGTGAGGCTGTGCTTACCACCTCTATTCCATTTAACTTAAAAGAAGCTTCCTGAGAAATGAAACAAACGTTTCATATGTCACATCACATTTGACTGAATAAATGAGGACTTGAGCTTTGTCTTTGTAAAGTTCTTGAAAACTGCACCTTACAATTTGAGCACAATGGAAAGTTGGTAATTTGTAATAAGGCTCTTGGAGACCTTTTTGTATGTCTGTGATGTACAGTATTAATGGCATGAGCAGGGTGGAGGAATCATCAGTAATCTCTGATGAAACCAAAGGGTATCCAATTCTGAGGCAGTGCTAGTGTATTCTTGACTTACAGAATGAACAAAGTCTTAGCATAGTTTCCTCCTGGTCTGGGTGAACTTCAAGCCTATCTTTGAAATTTTGTATAACATTTTGAAGATGTTCTATCTCTGCTGTCTTCTTTTTTTCCCTCTGCTGTACACACTTTAGCTTCTTTTGCAGCTCCTGAATCTGTTGGTACAGAGGAATTTATAGTGACCAAAACATTGATAAAATTCATTAATAAAATGAAATTATGTTCATTGCCATAGCTCAGCTGGTAGCACTCTGATTCCTAACTGGAGAAACAGGTTCAATCCAATGGCCAAACAGGGTTGGTGGGAATTATTTGTTCAGGTGTTCACTGACCCAACCAACTGCCAATATCAAGGTGCTTGGCTAAAATATTCTTTTTTGCCTGGAGCATGGCGGCCTACAAATTATGCTAAATAAAATTTGAATTTTGACTTTGTATTCCAGAAAATTGCATTGGATTTTAAGTATTGTAACTTTTTACAAATTTCAAATATGTACAGTACTCAGGTATTCTTAAATCCAGTACAGTACAGGCACATCAATTAAATTAAAAGTAAAGTAGCACAATCTTTTACCTGCTTTTTCTTTTCCTGTAGTATATTAGTTATTTTTCTTGATTTCTTTTTTATGCCAAAATTCTCTGCTGCCAATAAAGCAACTTTATGTGATGTTAGTGACTCTTGAGCTGTTGGCAATTCATCCGAGGTAGAATGGTCATCAGGTACAGTACTGTCATCAGATGACAAGTCATCGTGTGATGTCTTAGAAGATACCCTTTTATCTTTTTTAGCTGGTTCAATCATTACTACATATCTGAAGATTTTTTTCTTATCCTTTTCTTTCTGCTTCTGAAAAAAGGAGAGTTGTTTCAAATAAATTATAAAAAAAATTAAATTTAAGTGTTCTGTTAGTGCTGTAATTGTAATATAGTGCATTACCCATATAGCTTAATTCTATGGAAAAAAATGGGTTATATGTCAATATCTGGACCAAGAAATCTATGCAGTGATTGCATTTAAACTTATAGTTGTAGAGTAATTTGAGTCACTGTCTGAGCATAATGCAATACTACACACAAATCATCAGCCCATGAGCTGTTCCTAAGGACAAGTTACTGTACCTATATACTACAAATAGATTAAATTCAGGAAAGTGACAATCACCTGAAAGATGGCTGCCAAGACAAATGTAGAGAGAGTTGTAGTAGTCTGGGTACCTTGTAGTCTAGCAGCTGATGAACAAAGCAGTACAGTACTGTACACTTACTTCTGGGAGGAGGGAGAGCACAGTGAGCTTTGGGTGTTAACCTAATGCTCTGTTGTCTGCTCTGGCTTAAGTTCCACTATCATGGGGGAAGTAAAGTGGGGAGCAATGAGCATGCCTTGACAACACCACCTCTTGGTACTTAAGAAAAACCTCAGAAAACAAAACAGAAGACACACCAAAAAGTTATAACTTGCAATCAGTGCTGTCATACTCATTTATAATGTATAATTCAGTTAAGACCCAAATTAAGTGGAAATGGTTTTGAAAAATTAGCAATTAGCAATTTTCCTTAAAAATTAGTGCTGGGACCACACTTGTTTCGCTAACAATTTTGAAAATAATCGGCACTAACAGTGTTAGCACCACCATCCCCAGCACTGGTAGCAGTATGAAGTTGTGATGTGAGTGGTAGCACAAAGTTGTTATTTCTCTGAATAGATTCTGTCCATTAATTTTATTATCTAAACTGGTACTAAGTGAACCTAACTACCTGCAGTTAAAAGTTGAGTCTCACTAATTTTAATGATATTCTTGGTCAGTTTTTGTGATTTAGCATAACCTAACTAAATAATCACTGTATACACATCTAAGAACCTTGGCTCAAGCAGGCAGTGATTACCTGTTCATTGGGCTTATCATGGAGAGGTCCTGGTCCTGTGGTAGTTTGTGGCTGGGGCATTCATTGTTTTGTTTAGTAATATATTTCCTATGCTCAGTCATTTTTTTTTTCAAATAATGAATTGAATTTTAAAGTTAAAAAAAGAAAAAGAAAAAAAAAGCAAGACATCCATTTCAGACAGCATGCATCATGCAGGTAGAGATCTGAGAAAAATTTAATTATATTGAACAGGAATTTATAAAGAACAAAACTTATAGTCACAGCCTACTATATAAATCGTATTTCAGTGAACAGAGAAATATAAGAACAAGATAAATCATCATGTCAGTTCACAATACTGTACTGTATACAAACTTACCTTATACAACAAAGGAATTTATCAAACTTATTCAATATACTGTAATAATTTTTATTTTCATATGGTTCACATCACAGTACAGTTCAACACCTTATACAGTATAGAAATTAGCTCTTTGCTGACATATCTAGTGACAGGTGCAGGATGGAGGGTCCCAGGACACTTAGACATATCCCACAATGCTTATAGCTTTAATATCATTGAATGGGAATAATGAGTGTAGAAGGAAATACCAGCTAGTGGATGCAGGGTGGTGGTGGTGGAGGTGGGCCATGAGATGGAGATTATGCATACGGTTCACCTTTCCTTTGTACAGTATTACATTTACTGGGTAATTTTAATTGATCTTTAAGTGTTTCTCTACATAAAGTATAGGAATTCTAAATATTTTTCATACACGTATCATATAATCCAGGTTTTGCATAATTTCCACCTACTGTAATTTTTATACACCTTGAACTTGCTGTTTCCTTTATGCCACAATTAAACTCAATTCTTTCACTTTTTTGTTTGTTTGTGAGCATTGTGAAAGCAAAATACCCTTTAGTGTACATATATTAAATAAATAGTACAGAGCACACCCAGTCTGATTCTTGAAGCAGCAGAATCATAGCTCAAGCATCTGTAACCGTATCACTCGAGATATGTAAATAAAACACTGTGAATTTAGGATGATGCAACAATTCATTAGGGGTTGAACGTAGGATCTTTTTTTCTAAGAAAACATAACCTCCAATAACATGTACAGTACAGTATAAAATGCAAGTCAATGTATATTACTGTACTAGGGTAATATAATTATTACTACAGTATACAGTACAGCAATACCCCGGTTAGTGCTCAGGATACGTTCTTGGTGACATAAGATGATGATTTGGTGACTCTTGAAATACCGTACTATTATCATAATATTGTTTTTACCAAAGATTATGCAAACTTTCTCTACCTTTGTATTCGTATGTTAATTACGTTGGGGGGAGTGTAGTGGTGTTTCCTTATTATTACACACTATTACAATTAACAATATGATAAATCTTTGGCTAATAATAGGGACGGAAAGATAAATACTGATAGGCAAATGAGTTTTTTATTATTATATAATTTTGGGGGGTTTGGGGAGATTTATGGGGGAGTGGGTGTAAGATAGGTGTTGTTTTTGATCATTAACTTGTTTTACAGTATTAGCCCACAAAATAATTACATTTTTCAGAAAGACACAATTATTGTTGGTTTGAAGATCAAACAACTGTACATGACAGGTAGTTATTCTCATTCAACTCACGATAAAATAATAACTATTCATCGTACTAACTTCCAGTTTTCACAGTTTGCTAGGAGAGGGATTGAGCTGCACGATAAAAAAAAAACCTCTAGCTTAAAAACAACAAAGTTATGGTTGTTTGAACCTCGTAAAACTTTAAACACGTTTGTTCCGCTTTTTAAATTTGGCGTCACCCCCTTCTAATGCGGAGCGCCTCATATGTAGTTCAACTTACTATACTACATAATAGTAATATTTAAACTTTCCTTTATAATATCACTGACAGATAGAATATTAGACAACAGTTTAATTCTCTAAAGACTGTCTGTCATAACTAAGATCAGTTTTCCCATTATCACTGTATTTTCAACTTGTCCCTGTACTGTACTCTTATCTATACAAAGTACTAGATGATGAATTAACTTATAAGGCAGAAGAGGAAGGCATTTAAAACTACCACTCATATTACTTGGGGAAATTCCATATAAAATTCTGGGGAGAAGAAACAGGGTTGTCAGTCCTTAAAATACTTGTGTTACCACTGTACCAAATTCACCCAGTTCTTGTCTTACAGGTAATCTTTGATTATCTCACTGAGTTGAGACTCTTGCTATGGGCATCGAATCATGGGGGATGAGGGCAGTCTTCCCCCATGATCAAGCTTGTGTCAAGGGAAAGCAATGTTTGGGTGGGCCAGGGGATTATCGCGGTCATTTTTCTCATGTCAGACAAGTGGGTGCAGTATGAGAGGTCTGTGTAGGTTAGGTCAGTAAAGGCCCTCCTGACCCTACACTCGTTAGTTTAACAACACCGGTAAAATTAGATCAGGTCATACAGAGCAGACCATTTACCCATAAAATTTGCTTCAAATTTCTGATGGTAACCAGGACACATGGAAAATGACTAAACGATGATGATTATGTTGATGAATTTGGGTTTAGAATACAATATATGATGATATATCTTATTTCAATTTTCATTAATTTGTTGAACAAAATGGAGAAAACTTAATTGAAAACTAGTTTCTTCAAACTTGTTAAAAAATCCGAGAAAATTCCAATCTTGTACTATGCTGTATTATATATTCCCCCCCCCCCCCAAAAAGTCACAAACCTCTTCACATGCATACTTTACATATAATAGTTTTCATTCCTGAAAATAAAAAGTACACTTCTTCAACTGACTTGATAAAATACAGTATAGCTTTTCCCTCCAACATTTACTGCACTAATACTACCAACACCACCACCACTACTACTACTACTACTACTACTACTACTACTACTACTACTACTACAAAAGCCAAACACCACACCTCTCGAGACCGAAAATATTAAAAAATTTGAAACACTTACAGCCCTCCGTTTTTTCTGTTGTAATGATTTTATCTTCTTCAGAAGATCTTGAACCTGTTGAAATTCCAAGAATGAACATATATTACTTGAGAGTAACACAAACAGTGATATGTGTGCAACACATAAGTACATACACACGTGGGCAGATGAAGGCCAATGTGAGGTACTATTAGTTGTGTAAGATGAGGACTATTTTTTGTTTGTATGTTGGGGTGTGTGTGAGGGTATTGTTGATGTGGGTATGCAGGGAGAAAGAGTGGGGTTAGATGAAAATCGTTCCCAAAGCCGGAATTTTCCGGAAAATTCCGGCTTTGGGAAAAAATTTCCGAGAAAATTTCAATTCCGGCTATCGGAGAGTTCCGGGTTTGAGGGATTCCGGCTAACGGACATATTACTGTAGACTTATTCATTTCACTTACAATATCACTAACCAATTCCTCGTCAAAAAACAAACAAAAATAATTCAAGTAATTGCTACTATCATCCACATTTGCCTATGCAGTAATACTTTTGTTTGAGGTATCAAAAATATACCGGGGTACATATTTGGTACATAACTCTGGCAATCTCGCTGCATAAAGTCACTAGCTGGTGCAGGTTGTGGTGCTGGAGCAGACACACCTTGACATACAACAAAAGGAAGCAGGAAAAGACATTTGTCAGGATTGTCAAGAAGGGGATGCCCAATGTAAACATTGTGGGTGTGGAAGTAGTGAAGAAATCCGATGCCTCCCATATCTTTGAAGCACACCTGTGATCATGAGAATATTCTGGAAGCATACTGGAGTTGGTTTCCTCTGGCAGTGGTGGTGGATTTTGTGATTATGAAGTACCTTTGCTGCTTTTGTGAAGTGCTTTCGCTCTATTTATGTGACTGAAGTGAGCAGTGTAACTCTGAAAATGTCTAGCAAGCTTCCCCAAAGTAGAAGACCCTCCTAGGACTTTGACTCCCACACTGTCTCCAGCCTCTCTGGACTCCCCAGAGGCTTTGTGGGAGTCAGATTGATGTCTCCACTCCACCTACATGTCCCCCCCATTAGCCTCAAAGAAGACATGTGATGATGACCAAGCTTCTTCTTAATGATGTGGAGATAATTTTTTTTTTTTAGGATTTTTTTTCGGTGATACATGTGGGTGTTGGACTGGCTGAGAACATATCCTATTGAACCCTATGTTATAATGAACTCGATTTACGATATTTTGATTTGCGATGGGGTTTTCAGGAACGTAACCCCATCGTAAATCAAAGGATGCCTGTATAGCAGAGGATGAATTTAACCATCTGTGAGAATGTTTACTTTACTCCAAAAAATTTTCATAGGTTCCCTCATTGAAGGAAGGATACTGGTGTAGAAGCCATGTGTACTTCCTCTCTTCTAAGAGAGGAAGCAATGGCCACTGGCATAGATCCCATGCTTCCTTTAAGTTGTGGCTAATGTTGTTCAGATAAAAAACTGTCAAAGTTCATTTGAAATACAGTATATGACAGGCTCATATTTCAGCCTATGATACTACTATGGTGTTTACTGTGGGTTGGCATGCAGCATAACTGAGAGTACAGGTGTATTACAGTATGACATTACAGTTATGTATAAATTTTCTTAAGGATATATTACCTCTTGATCCTTTTCTTTGAGGATGTGAGTAGTAGCTTTAGAATTCTTGAGACAGACATCATCAGATATATTGTTTTCAGTTTCAGTCATTTCATATTCTTCCATGTTTGGCATGTCATCCAAAACTGAGGATTTTTTGAAGTTTGTCCAATCTGGAGGCTCTTTCTCCTGGAATAAAAAGAAGACATGTGTACTAATGCCTTTTTCAAATGAACAAAACGGTTCCATATTATCATAGAGTGCATTATTTTACTTCCCCTCATTCACAAGGATTATAATTTGTGCCCATCATTTGCAAAACTGAACCTTTTTGGATATGAATACAAAACTTTAAGGATGAGAGATATAAATACTTCATGCAAATAACAGATTTTCTATGAGGTTTATTTCTCCTTCCTTCTTTCAAATACCTTTCATAGTTAGTGTGTTTCCAGTGAGTGACCTGGGAGATATCTATTTTAGAATACCCCCTCTTAGCTTACAGAGAGAATCCCAAAGGTGTGATGGCATGTTAGGGACACAATCGCTATATCACAGTATACTAAACCTTCAGTACACAAGGAATTAGAATAGTTGGTACTGCATTCAACTGCCTTACTCCCAACTGCAGTACAGGTATGTATACGGTTAACCCTTAAACTGAAGCTAAGGGAAAATGAGGCTACTGCTGTGTGCATTATCACAAAAAGTCTTACAAAATTAAAGATAAACAGTATCTCCATTTACATATGCATGAAGTATGAAAAATGAAAAAAACATTCCTTTATCTACCTTTGCTTTGCCGTGTTAAGTGAGTGTATGGGGGCCAAATGACTTGAGGGGCGAAACAAAGGGGTACTGAAACATTAAGGACAGACAACAAAAAGTGGTAATAAATGGAGTACATTCTGAATGGAAAAAGGTTCTCAGTGGAGAACCAAAATGCTATGTCCTTGGACTCACCATGTTTCTGATATAAACAACATAGTGTAAATGAAAACATATTGAGCTACATGTCAAGTTCACAGATGGCACATAGATATTTGGGAAGGTAGCAAGTCAAGACGATATTGCAACAATGCAGAAAGACTTACATATGATGTTCAAATGGTCTCGAGACTGGCAAATGCTTCAACATTACGAAATGCAAGATCCTACATGCAGGATACAATAACCCTAATCACACCTATTCTGTTAATAACACTTTCCTGGATACCGTGGCTAACAAGAAAGATCTAGATGTTGTGACAGTAAAAATTTTATTCACTGAAGGCAGTGCAAGAGGAGGCAGCATTAAAAAATAATAATAATATTTGGTAATTAAAAAGTGCACTTATTAATAAAAAGATAGAAAAATGCTCCTTCAACTTTACAAATCTCACTTATGTCCTAGTCTGGATTACGGTACTGTATACAGGCATGTAAACCTTACCTCCAGAAGGACTTAACATCCTTAGGAAAGGTGCAACACATTATGACCAAGATGATTTTGGAGTTATGTTATCTTGATTATCCAAGTACAGTAGACTGAGAGCCTTAGGACTAACAACCCTTAAGACAAAGTACAATAAGGCAGATCTTAATGAAACATCCAAAATCCTGAGGGGATGGAAAAAGTGAACTCAGGCCATTTCTTTGTGATGTCAAGCACCACCAACACCAGGGGACATAACTACAAGATTGCCAAGTTACCATGTAGAATGAATATAATGAAATACTTCTTCACACAGGGGGTGATAAGACCTATGGAATTTCTACCAGACAATGCTGTCGAATCATGAATAGTACTTGGCTTCAAAATAGCCCTTGACAAATTTATCTAGAACAATGGAGGGATCTTGATCAGGCCACTGGCCTGAATGTGGTAAAACAGGTAGACTTATCAAACATGCTGATTAATTCCATCGTGAGTACTGGGATTATTTTGACATTTGATGATTCCGTTGTATGTTGTCCTGTTACCTGTTCTACAAGATCTACCCAGCCAATAAATATCATACATGGTTAGTGTTCTCAATTACTCACTACTGTATTGTTCTCCTCCAGGTACTTCAACTTCATCTTCAGATACTGAACCTGAAACAATAGAGATTACAGGTATCAGACAAAGACTCAATCATTTTTTTAAATGGGAAGCAGACTGATGGAAAGCACCACTATATAGCCTCAAAAAAAATTACAACTTTATACAGCACGAAAATTATTAAATACCAGGTAAATAAATAAAAATTATATAACAGATAGAGTACTGTACCACAAAAGGTTACCTGTATGTTTTTCATCTGTATTGTTTCTTCTGTTTCTCCAGGTTTCCTACAATAATAATGATCTGAGTAAAAGGGATCATCTGGATGTGTTGAGAGATGGTGGAGTAGCGAGGAGGAGTCATCTGAGGCAGAGGGATTATCAACGTGTAGAGGACCATGCAATGTTGAAGGTTCTTTATACTGAGATGGGTCGTCACTGTCACATGATGATGAAGGCTCAAAAATTTCTCTTTTTGGTGTTACTAATTTCTTCTGAAACAACAAAACTCTATATATACATACCACTCCTGCATACAAAGAGTTCACTTTAAAATTCAGCTGTGCAATTTGTTTTTCATTACATTTATCTGGTTAAGATATATAATAAGAAACTATGCTATATCATAGCTAGTACATAATACAGTATTCACAATCCAGTGACCAGGACTGAAATATGGGGTGCACTGTATACTTACAATTAACTGGCTATAGCTTTCAATTTTAATCATATTTTTCTTAATTACATAATAGAGTGGCTCATTCAGTGTTCCATATACAGTGTGCATAAACTACCCTACCAAAGTGCATCCACACACAAACAAGTCTCCTTCAGACAATGGAAATGCATATGAAACTATGATACTTACGAACATTTACACTAGCTACCACTTATGATTCGTAACCATGCCAAGCATACAATAAACTAAGGACTCCCGCAAAAAAAATTAAAATAAATAAATAAGTAAAAATTAATATTAATTCCTTCACTTTTAACAATCCTTAATTCCGCTTAACTGAACTACACTAAGTTTATCAACCAAATTTTTTCTTTATAGTATTATAGCTTCCATGAAGTTCCTCATTCAGTTCATCTTCAAGTAACTGCAATCTGTACATACTCCTATTGTAGATAAATGCATGGAAATAGATAACACAGCACAATTTACAACATATGACAAAAATTTTCATTATCTCCTTCAAATTTTGTCACTGTGTCTTAAGGACTCAGGGGTTTTAAATTATCTGAGAGAGAGAGAGCTAGAAAAGCTGATGGAAGTCTGAGGCTTGGCTCAGAAATAATTTGGAATATTTCATTAGCATTGCATCACTACAGTACAGTACATACTGTACCTTACCTGCTTTCCTCTTCCTTGCAAGGTAGTGATTTTCCTTTTAGACTCCTCCTCATCATCTGAGTGATCAAAGGGTTCAGGTTTTACTGATACTTGGTCTAGAGGCACTGATGCAACATTAGCTAACATTGAATAACAGGCTTCTGATGATCTTTTGATCACACCTCTTCGAGATCTATGTTCTTTTTCCTGGAATGATAAAGAAAGGATATGTAAGAAATATGATTTAAATATACGGAGCAACCACTTAAAGCAAATTAAACAAAAGTACTAAGCAGTAAAATAGAAATAATCTTGTCTTATATACAGTTCTCTGTGGTGACCAGGTCAAGGTTGCTGTTGCTGTCCCAGGCTAATCACACTGGTGGGATATTTGTAGGTAGGAGGGTAATCTTTGACTACCACAGGGAGTAATGACCCTGTCTTGCTAGCTTCCCTGTAAGATGGCATTTGGAAGTCCGACATACAATGCCCAGTTCCCACTCAATAAAAGTGGGTTTGTGATAGGAAGGTCATCTAGCCATAAAACTTGCTTCAAATTTGCCTGATGGCAACTGGGACACCATGCTATCAGGTAATAATGGCTAATCCATGTTTGCAACACTCAAAATCAAAACACCTAAACAACATAATGGTTAATCAAGAAAAAGATTTAAGACCAAAAATCAGAAGATTGAAGGTGTTGATTAATCTAAATTTTCCTATACAAGACCATGAAACAGCAGAAGAATACCTTTAATGACACATAAAAAGTTAATTCATTTCTAAAAGTACCGTAATTAATGAGTAGATACTTGATTTCACATCAACTACGCAATAAATTCTTGGTATAATATAAATAAAATTTAAATTTTGTCAAAAAAATATTAATTACCTCATTTTGATCTGGAGTAGATTTGCCCTTTGTTGGGATGGCTCCCACTCTTAATCTTGTTGTCTGGCCAGTTCTGTCAAAGAACTGTTCTTCAAAGTGATCAGAGCACAACACTGATCTCCTTCCTGGAACCCAGTTTTCCCTGCCTGTGACTAGAATCCATTTTTGACGGACAACACTGTTGACAGGGAAACTGTAAAGATAAAACACAGCCGCTATACAGGTGCTGACTGTTGTATATTTTTTTTTTTGCAAAACCTGTATCTCCCTATAGTCAAATCAATATAGAGTTTCGTGCATGGACTAGTAAATATTAACCAAAGAAACATAAATATATTTTAAAATTTACCAAGGATAAAACAAAGCATATTAGAATTTTCGGTAAAGGTGGAGCAGATGGCTAACACCAATAGTAGTAGTTCAATTTCATGAATTTTTTTCCACAAATTTTTATGGATGATAGTAAGTAATAAAAATGATATGACAAGACACAGAAACTACTAGAACCTGACCTAACCAAATCAACCTACCTAACCTTACCTAACTTCCCATCCACGGGGCTCTACCCATCAGCCCCCCTGGCATATTAAGTAGAAAGAACTTATTTGATATCTGGTACAAATGTAAGCAATTTTTTTGAAGCGGCATGGCTCTCTGACGGGCTCACCGACGGTTTTATAGTATAAATTATAAAAAAGAAACATTTCCCCAAAAGACAACACTGTCACTAGCAATTAACAACAAAAATTTTGGTGGAAAAGCAGTGTGCTCTTGTGAGAATCGTTGGCAGCATTAATCTAAACGTTAACCCCCCAAAATATATATAAAATAAAACAGTTGTCATATTATTTTTATTACTCACTATCAACCAAAGAACATCTGTGGAAAAAAATGACCGAAATCAAATGGGTCCTTCTGGTGTTAGCCATCTGCTCCACTATTACCCCAATATTTTCCCATCAAATAGACGTCACTGCTTTAATTCATATACTAATACTACAGGTGTTATGCGACAGCTGAAAAGTATGATTTATACACTAATACTACAGACTACACTCACCAGTGCACCGTTCTCCCGCTGCCTTTTGATGCTTGTTTACGACAGTATATTGCTGCACAAGATGGCATACCTATCTCTGCATTATAAATTTACTTACGTCACGTTGTAAGATCCGATGAAATTATAATAAAAGGACAAGGAATAAAATCAAAAGTTTAAAAGAGTCGAGGCACGAGTACCAAGATGGAAGGCTCAGGAGTACTAAGGTGGCGGTGATGTGAACAGTAACTGGTTCCCTGTTGTCCATGGATGACCGCAACAGGTGTGTATTGGGTGTGTTTTTGAACAACCGCTATGAGGGGACAATTTTGTTTTATTTTTTATCATTTCCATCACTTATCAGCTTAATTTTTTGATGCCACACTTTTAGTTATCCCTGACAAACACATCTATATCTCAAAACTGTCCTACTTTCCCTGTCAGTGAGAAATAATGTTTATGTGAATGTTATTATACCATTTTTTTCTGTACTTGCTACAGTTTGCATAGTTGACCTTTTAAGCTAGTTTTTACTCTGGGTTTCCCTCTGCCAGCTTGTGGGCTTGTAGTGGATTTCTCCCCTACAAACGCTGTTTGTCGCTGAGCAGCCGACCCCACGAATTCCCCACTGTATGCCTCGTGGTCTGGGTCAACCAGCGCCGCCATACATCACGGAGGTCAACTACTAAGCCACGCCTACCCCCGCTATTTAAGACCTGACCTCGTGGTGACCTCTCTCTTCTTCTAGCTACAGCCGCAGCAAGCAACACCACCTCCTCCGCCGCTGCCTGGCGGCCCTAGCATGGCGACCCACAAGCTGTCCTCCTCTGAGCACCCTCACCAACCAGCTCTCTCTACATCACGCTTGTAACCACGCTGCCACTTCCCAGCACCAAGCTGCATTGTACATCCACTACAACATGTATATAGAGAGCACATTGTGAGTTTCCTTTCTCCATTCCATCCTGAGTGTGAACCCAAACATCCCATACCCCACAGGCTTCTCTCCTTGACTAATTTCGCTTTATTGTCGTTTCTGACATTTGCTCCCCCTTTTGTTACAATCATTTGTCCATACCCAGTTACTCACTGCAGTCCAGCCAGCTATTGATACCAACTGCCCTGGACAACTAATTGTCGCCAATTCCCCTTCTCGACAGGACGCCACAAATGACAGGTATCCCTCCCTGCCTAATACTGTACAGTACAATCTATAGCTGCCTTGAACTTACCAGGCTCTTTATTCTTACACCGACCAATACCATTGCCTCTAGCACCGAGACATAAGAACATAAGAAAATAAGGAGTCTGCAATAGGCCGGTTGGCCTGTGCATGGCAGCTCCTGTCGAGAGCTACTACCACTCTCCATCATCCATGAATCTATCTAGCCTCCTTTTGAAACTTTCCAGAGTTCCCGCACTTACTACTTTGTCTCTCAACCCAGTTCGATCCTGCCAAATACTTTTATTTACCTTACTTTTTCTCTTCACCACTGATCGGCTCCTTAGCTGCTTGGGCGGTCGGTTTGTCTCTGTTACGTCACGGTTGATAAGTACTGTACTGGTCATATATTGGCTCCAGCCTCCAGTGTTGGTCAAGTCTGGTTTTGAAAGAGCTCAGACACTCAGTGCTGTCACAACAATCTCTAGCGGATTATTCAGAGTTTATAATTCTCACTCTAAAAAGTTTGCCCTTACAATATTCTGGACTTGTGGCTTCTTCAACCTTGAGCAGTCACCTCTAGAGGGGCAAGAGTCCGCCAACTTCAGGTATGGGCACTACTGAGTAGTGTCCTCTGAGATGTTTGTAAATTTCAATTAAGTCACCCCTTGCCCGCCTATAGCATAAACTAGGCAGTTGCAGGCATTGTAATCTCTATGTAGCACAGGTACCAGTTTGGTGGCACTCCTTTGGACATTTTCAATCAACAGACAATCTCTTGCATATTTCGGAGACCAGACGGGGTGACAGTACTCCAAACAGGGAGGTACCTCACTCTTGACCCACTAGCTTCTTTGCTTGATTCACCTTCTCACAATGGCCCGAGAGCTTCAGTTTATTGTCGACACACACACCCAAGTCTTTTTTCACATTTGGTCTCTGTTAATACTGTTTCTTCGTCCTGTTGGGACATGTGATACTTCTCCTTGCTGTTGGCAAGACCTGGGTGCATCCTCTTACACTTCGTGACATTGAATCTTGAGTCATTTCTTTGGCCACTCTTGAAACTAGCAAAGATCTTTCTGTAGCTTTTCACAGTCCGTTTGGTTCTTAACTTCCCTGAATAGCTTGGCATCGTCCACAAATATTTGTTGTATGGAGGAGTGTATAGTTTCTGGCATGTCACAGGTACACATCATGATTTTTTGCAATTGAACACCAGTCAGCACACTGCTTTCGGTCATCAAGAAAATCTCCGAGGCACGCTTGGACACTTCTTCGAATCCTTCCAGTTTAATTCTCAGCCTTTCATGGGGAACGCTGTTGAAAGCCTTGGCAAAATCCAGATATCCGAGTATATTGTCGATATTGCCGCCTGTTCCAAAATTTGAGTCCAAACATCTGTGTGTAAAGCAGGAGCGTCCCGACATAAAACCATGTTGGTAGTCCTTTACAAGGTTGTTTCGTAGTTGATGTTCCATCATGGCATCTCTTATAATGCTCTCTATGCTGGTCAGGCTTGTTAGCTCTTGGGCGGTCGGTCAAGTGTCTGTTACACACTGTTGGCAAGTAGTGTATTGGGCATGTACTGCCTTCAGAATGTATCTGTACCTGCACTAGCGTTGGTGAAGTTGGGTCTTGAATGAGCTCACAGTCGGTGCCATCACAACGTTCTCTGGCGGATTGTTCCAAGAGTTTACTTAGCTGTTTTACTCTTCTTAAGCGTATGATAAATTTTGGTAATATATACTGTATTTTCAGACTTACTTTCTCATATTTTACCCCTTTCTGTGAGAGTAACGGGGGAGGGGGGGTTAGGAAAATGGATAATGACATTCAATGATGTGATATAATTTATTTATCCCAATTAATTACTGACATAAATGCCAGTTTCAGATTCATAAAATCTTTCACTCGTTTTTCACAATTACACCAGCAGAGAAACAACTAAAATGTTCTCTCACAACTAACGACAGAATTGACCTTGAAAAAAAAAAACAACAACCATAAAGTAAAAATAATGAAGAGTAAGAGATAAGTAGCACCAAGGGACAGCAACCTTCAGGTGTGTATTTTCCTCCTCCTCCTCCTACTCCAGCAATAACATCGTCTCAAGTTAACTGAAGTTGCTTATCACACAATACGAATAGCATACAGATAAAACCTGGAATCCTATGAATTGGCAAGTGGCTGAGTATAAAAAAAATATATAGTAAAATGAAACCTATGTTCCCTAGCCTATTCTGGTATCATGATAAAAAAAAAATAAGGTGCCGAAGAATATATAACCCCCTAACACCCTAAGTCAGACTAGGGTCTAATTTGCCACCTCGCATCCTGACAGTGATTAAACCAAGAAATAAATGTTAGCTTTAAGTGTAATTGTACAGATAAATATGAGTGAAACTAAACAGTATAAGTGAAACTACAGTAAAGTAAGTTTAAGTAGCCCCCCTTTGTCCTCCAACTCAAGATTCATCAAGATAGGTATGATCCAATAACCTCTAAATTCATCTGCTACAATGTAAGTACACTGTAAATAAGTATTGTTAACTTTAATTTGGTTTTGGGATATGATTTTTCAGCAGAATGGTGGTTGAAACTATAGGAAGGGGGGGGGGCACATAAGTTGGACTAGCTTGAGCCCCATATTGCCCGACTTTAGAGTCTATCTGTATATACACTCGCGAAGTTCATTTATAAGGACACAATAATATCTTATAATCCTATTCTATTCTTCATTTACTTAATTGCAAAATGTTTGTGGATGTTAATGTGAGTGTCAAACAGATCTATTTTCGGTGATTCCTTTACATGGCTGGCTAATATTTTTTAAATGAACGTGGCTCAGCTTACCGAACTTTGACCTATACTGAACTAATAGTCAATCTTCTAAAGAAATTATTTTACCTTTAAAAATAATAAATCTTGCATTTCGGCAGACTGAAATATATTGATACTTAAGTGTAAACAATTCTCTCGGCTGAAGAATGTGTATATCACATGAATTAGCTGCACTAGGCTACTCAGGTAGTACGGCAAGTGTACTCAAGTAAACATATATTAATGTCTATCTTTTTTGGTAAAAGTTAAATTACATATAATTTACAAGTGTATATACTTATATATTACGTATGTTCATCATCTCTTGCAATTACATATTTATTATCACCATATTACAACACTTTTTATGCACAAAGCTTTACATTTCCACTAAAATGCTTGTTCTGGGTTTAAAGGCTGTATTAACTTATCGACAAAAAAATCGTGTGCAAGATCTATGGCTGACAGTACAGTACCTCTGTTACAACACAACAAATGTTTATGTCCCTATATCCTTAACTGGATAAAAGTTGACAATTCTACATCATTTGACAAATGAATATTATGAGATGTACCATAATTTTTTTTATTTAAATCTAAGCCTTTGATCCCAATTTACCTTGTCAATTCTTTGCACACATGGGATATTTACAAAAATAATGTATTTAACTACACATTACTATTACACAAGAGTTATCTTGTACTGTACCTCTTTCTTGTTATACACGATTGGGCTTTTTAATGATTTTATGAACTCACAGCTCACACAACCCAGAGAGTATATTCTGAACTGCTGCTCGGTACCATTAAATTAAATTTGGCACAAATATACCTTGCTACAGACCCCACACAGTTGTTTTAAAACTGAAGTGAGATGTGTGTACAGTATTTTTGGTAATTTTTTTACAAATTAAATATCACAAATTGCTCAATTTGGGAGTTCTTGTCCACTGTTCTGCATTAGCTGAAGATGCTTTGGTTCACGCCTTAACCAATGATATAAATAATTTTTTTGAGTTTATATATTTCTAACCACTTATCACGCGTCAAAGAACACCCAACATGCACAATTTGGGGTAACTGACTTATTATTCCACAGTATTTTAAGCGTCTTCATTTGGGGCTTGGGACAAAGATGCTTTTACAGCCCCCAAACGGCAATATTGATAATTTTCTTTTTATCCTTTTGATCGGTTTGCAGGAGTCAAAGGCCACCATCTAGTAATGCGTGATTGAATGGAGAGAGACATGTTGCATATCTTGTGAATGCTTAATGATGCTACACATGTCATCAGTGTGATTTAACACAACTGGACACAGCACCACCTGGTCCTCCATGGGTAGAAGTTCAAACAGGTGCCACTTGTCACAAGCGTGTCTGTCCATCACACTCAGGAATTATTATTTTAATTTTTCAACTTTATAATCTATTTTTGTATTTACATTTAATATATTTTCTTTACACTGATAAGACTCGATATGTAATACAACTTTGGACATTCATGAATTACACTGAGGCTTCTTCTGATTTCGACGGTATAAACTTTTTTGAATTATCATTTTCTTCTCCGCCTATAGGAAAAGAATCTACGCACTTTAGGTGTAAGTAGCTTTATAAATGATGATGGGAAGAGCTTATCTTTCTCCCTAGCATACTCGTAGTACTTGATGGGTTCTGCCACCACCTCCAGGAGACGCGGTAGTAGCTCACGATCCTGTGTGAGAGTAAGAGAGAATTTATGTGTGTAATGTTGGGTGCAGTGGCGGCTTGTGACTCTAATTCGTGGGGGTGCTGCTTCAAAACATTATATATATATATATATATATATATATATATATATATATATATATATATATATATATATATATATATATATATATATATATATATATATATATATATATATATATATATATATATATAATGATAAAAATAATAAAATACTAAAAGTATGGTAAAAATTTTCTCGTACAAAAGCTTTACTATACGGTATACAGTTGGGAAAAAATAGACCTACCCTTAATATGGCTAAGTGATTGTGGAGAGAGTAGAGTTTGTTGTCTCGTACGATTGTCTTGATCAGTCCGTGGTATTCCTCTGAAACAGGACAAAGTTTTGTTGAAATAAATAAGCTCATAACATTTTTGATGAGATATAAGTAATACCTTCATTACCCCAAAATAAATTATCCTTTGATTTTGCAACAACCAGTGACTGTGAAGCTAGACAAGCGCACTGACTGGTAGAGGTCTTTCGAAGGTAATTTACTCTTGGTAAATGTGTTCTATGTGAGTGAAAAAATATTCCCGCTCCCTTACAACATCTAAACTACAATATTCAGCGTGTAACATTGTCAATCCAGTAAGACTACCTGGAACCTCAATTGATATACGGATATATTTTTAATGTATTGACCAGAGGAGGACACAGAACAACTGGAACCAATAGATGGTTCTTCTCTCCTCCGGCATGAAATCTGTACACTCCTTTTATGGAAACGGAAGAAATGAAAGACCCACGTGACTGGAAAATATAATGTTTCTAAAAAGTAATAAAGTTCCCTTGTGTATGGTTTTGCCTCCAGATAATTACAGTAATTCCCATACAGTATACCCTTACTATGAAATTCTGGATCTGAATCTGAAATCATTCTGCCAATCTTGATTAAGTTTCTTAACGTTTTATCATTATGTTACCTTAAACATAAACTTTAAATGTACAGTTCAGCATTTGAAGAATACTGACAAATGACAACTGCATAATTATATGTACCACCACTCCTAAGTAAATATTATATACTTACTGTTATAAGTAACAAATAGTATTCTGAAACCCCTGTCAGTGTTGTTGGCGTCGCTGCGGAAGTGAACCCACATACGGCGGGAGCGAGAAGTGAACACCATAGGCCGGTCGACACTAGAACACGTCTCGAAGGTTACAGCGCTGTATGGTGACTCTGGGGGCACAGATCAAGAAACATTACCCTGGAATAAGTTGCTGAAAGAGGTTAATCAAAAGGAGGAAAGGAACATTTTCAGGAGACATCATGATGAAGAACAGGCAAAAGATACAGCCCAGGAATAAAGATTAAGAAACGTTAGTAGAAACAGAGGTCAGAGAGATTAGGTCGATGTTTAGTGACAGTCAAGTAAATCTGATAATCTAATATGAATAAGATACTGTATTTTTTTAAACAGTTAAATTACAGAAGAAAATAGTGATGAACTGTGAACCAAAATAACATGACCACAGAACAACTAGACGAATAACACTTCAATCACGGAGTTCAATGATTCTGGGTCATAAGATACTTCAACTAACTACATTTGACTCACTGGACTTCCTGAGCACCAAGTAGTCACCACACTGGTCGTGGCTGAGTCGTATCTCCGGCACCACCACCAACACCCGGCGACCTTTAGCAGGCTTCACCACCCAGGTACAGCGAGCATTGTCAGGGTAGTTGCCGGGGTAGTTGGGGGTCTCGAACACCCCAGACAAGTCACCGACGTAGCCTCCACAAGCATGTCCTTGGGAAAGTAAATAAAAAGCTTAATTACATTTTATCTAGAGACCAGAAACTTTGCATGCATAGTAAGGGGACTCTGTGGGTGTTATAACTTAGTGTTACATAACATGACCACACAAAACACCTGTGTAGTCTACCTTCACCTAACCTAACTTAAACTCGATGAACTTGACCTAACCTGAAGTAAACTAAACTTAGTTCATGCCCATTACTTGCCAACAGTGCGTAACAGAGACATGATCGACACACATTTTTAATTATTTTCCGATGACCCTGTATATAAGAACAGACAAGTAACATTAAGTTGTGTGAAGTTAAAGAAAATATTTTACGTGGCCAGTAGAGAAGAACTCACTCTTGCAGGCGGACACTGAGGTAGAGGCTGGGTGGTCCGTGGTGGAGGAGGCGGGACACTGTATACACGAGGAAGCACCCACGTCATGCTGGTAGTAGCCCACAGCGCACCTCTCACACTGCTTACTGCTCACGTTCCAGTAATGTCCTTGGTGACACACCTCTCCTGTGGATGAGAGGACGGCAGTTTCAACATTTGGGAAGATTAAGAATAATACAACTAATAGATATTCCTGAAGTGTAAGATTATGTTTATAAATCCTGTGTTAAACGAAGGCAAGAGGCAAAGGATAAATTAATCGTGACAAATGATCAAGGTATCCAAGTTCAGTTGTCAAGGTGTTAGTCTGCCCACTACTCGAGTAAGACAGGACAATATGGCCTCACAACAAAATAAAAACATTCGGTAACATCAAAGGTTACAGTTTTAAGCTGTACAAGAATGAAACTAATTAAGATAAAAAAGTAAAAGAGCCATCGTCGGCCACAGTGCCATAAAATAAGCTGAAAATAATGGTGTCCACGTTCACCATTATTTTAGCTCTGTGTACCTCACCTGTTACATGTAAAGAGGAATCCTTACTACATTATTGATTTTAATACTTATAAATTATCAGCAAGTCTTTTCATTTCAGTGGATTTGATTGCATGCTAGATAATATATCTATAAAGCTGTATAAAGCTCTTTATCTGACGTGAGGGTGTATAAGAAGGCAACACAGTACAGCATACACTCACTGTCACCAAGACACCGAGAGAAGGAGGCAGCCCCTGGTGGGGAGGTGAGGCCAAGGGGGCATGGGGTGCACCCCGCACGGCCCCTGTCTTCTTGGAAGCTTCCTGCAGGACAAGGCTGACATGGACTAAAGCCATCAGCACTCCAGTGGCCAGCAGGACATGAATCTGTCAACACATGGACAATATAAGTGACACACACACACACACACACACACACACACACACATTTTGTGACAAATAACAACAGTGTTTCAGTATTTGGGTGAACCATTTTTTCTTCTCAGATATACCTAAAGATCCATAACTTAGTCAACAAGATAGACAAAAGAAATGTACCAAAGTTAACAATTATTTTTTATATAAGACGAACCAGAGAGTTGAGGAACTAACCTGCACACTCAGAGAGGTTTCTGGCGCCAGACTTGGGAGGAACTTGTGGGAGAGTGTCTGGGGGACAGGAGAGGCACCTGGTCTTGGCCTCGTCTGGCTGGTACGTGCCAGCTGAACACTCCACACACTTGTCCTTCCGTATATTGTGGTATGACCCTAAGCTGCACGCCACTGTGAATCACACACTGCTACCATTAACAGCTTTAGAACTGAATACATCACCTATTTTAGCCTTGTGAATTGACAAGAAGATCCCTCCATGTATTGTCTCCATGTTAACGGTCATCAAAATATTAGATCATCTCCCACATAATATAAATGTCATGTACTAGATTCTGTCACTTAGTGTAGTGTGCATGATTACCAGAGGATAAAAGTAACTATACACAGCTGTACAGGTATTATGAACCCTGAGGAACACAGCATCTTACTGTATCTTTCTTGTCTAACCTTATATCCAACACAACTTTATTATTACTGTATGTCTGTATTGTTGTTTTCACTCTACACTTCGGTCATCCTGGAAGACACATCAACATACTCACGACAGCCAGTTAAAACTTCGAGATAAAGATGTGAATTTGGTCATCGATAACTTGAGTAGGACTGTTTTATTTTGACAACAGATTTGTAATGTTGTCAGAAAAGAGTGTCAAGTCTACCTAAGAACTTCAAATTGTGTGTAACAAGTGGGTGTGTCACTCTACCTCCACCACTCACCACACTTCTTGCCGACGTGGATGAAGCCGTCTGGACACGCCTCTCTCATACGCCCTCGAGCCTTGTAGGTCTTGGGCAGCACCTGGTACTGATGGCCCGTCTGGCTACACCACACACCATGGAAAGATAGATATAAACACAAATGCACTTAATGACTCTCCTACTGGTTAGAGGCACAAAATTTAACTAATTCTGAAAGTTAAACTTCAAATGAACTCTAATCTTCACAAATCCCAACCTATCCTAATTTAACCTGACCTGACCTGATCTACCCTAATTTGAATAGATCCCAACCTAACTTTACCACCTGGGTTGGGTTTCTGTTAGGACTAAGGTTCATTAAGACTGAATGAACCCCGTGTCACTAGGCGTCAGTATTGGGGTGTAACTAGCACCTTACACACGGCATGTCAATGGCTCCACTAGTGGATTTCTACTCTCCTAGAAATTGGTAGTGACTCAACTTTTCAATCAATATAATGGTTATAAGGTCCACAACTTGCTTGTTTCTGAGATTTTATTGGGAGGAATGGATATGTCAAAATTCTAAACAGAACTGCATTATTAGTACCACATAGGAAACACCGCTTCTTGTCCCATCAGCGAAGCTAAGCAACTTTGGGTCTGGTCAATACAGTACTTGGATGGGTGACCGCCTGGCCCTAAGAACACCAAAGGCTGCTGGCATAAGGACTCTACTGGAAACAAGCCTCTTATGGCTTTGTCAGCTGTCCTTGGTCAAATGGACTGGATGGCACCACTGTGGGTGCGAGTAGGCACCACGTGTTGACAGCCACTAGTATTCATGTAAACGCGCCCTTAGGTTGGGTCAGCCACCTTTCTGAACACTTTTGTGTATAATATTTTAACCCTCGCCCCAAACATATCTACTTGTGGGTATGGATGACGAGTACAATATGGACTCTAAATATTATGCAGTTTATGAAAAGTTTAATATAGAACTACAGTATTTCATCATCATCCAAATTGCCGATAGGTTATAGGTAGAAAAATTTAAAAAATATAAAATTTGGGTAACCATTGTCTACATTATTTAACTATGTATTCGTTATTCAAGATGACCAAACAGGTATGAATGAAGACACTATTTATCTACAGGATTATGTCAATTAAGGTGTCATTCTTATATCTGTGGGTTGTCAATCACGGCCCTCCTTCTAAACATCTAAGGATTATTTACAAGTCTTTCCATAGTTTTATCTTTCCAGGGACTACGACAAATAATTTCATTCACCCAACTCGGTTACTATTTTTGCCTGGTCCTCCTACACTCAATTTTACTAATTAAAATCGCTATAACTATATCCCATCTATAATTATATGACTAAAGAATCTAATTTAAATTTTCTATAACATTCCAGTCCTAATGAGCCAAGTGGGTCGGTTAATTTAGGTTAAGTTAGGTTAAGTTAGGCAAGGTTAAGTTGGAGTGTATCAAGACTGCCACCCGTAGCCTTTGTTAATCTCACCTGCTGATATATTGATGCTCCAGTAGGTTCTTCTTGAGGGGACGAAAGACATTATGGAAGATCCGCTTGGCGTAGCGTTTGAGGCAGCGTCGTCCGCACGTCTGGTGAGGGCTGGATGGGAATGTCATTACCTCGAACTTGGTCCGTACCTTCAGTATGGTCAGAGAGGGAGGAAGGCAGGCACAAGTAGAGTGTATGTTTGGTTATTTTTTTTATTTGGGGGGAGGGGGGGGGGAGGGCGATGGAGTACTAGTATTTGAGGAAGAATGTGGTTAGGTATGAGGTAAAACAATGGAGCAATTGGGGAGCTTATCTGTGGGGATATGGGGGAACTTAAAAGACTTTGTTCCATTGTAAATATTTTTTTCTTCTAATCTAATGGTGATAGAAAGTTGTAAATATATAATAATAGTGATGGAGGGATGAATAGTACATTCTTGAGGTTGAAGGAGAACTAAGTTATATTGATGGAACATAGATAAGGGAAGTGAGTGTGGCTAGAGGGTGGTGAAGAGCAGCACATTAATATACATACTGTGAGGTGAAATACATTATTATTGACATACAGGTAGGTTGTGGTTAAGTGATGGAGCAGCAGTTCATTTTTATTACCAATATAATTTTACTATAAGTGGAAAATCCAAAACATCATCAAATTATAACCTTGTCAAAATCTTGAAAATCACTTAAAGGTGTGATGGTTTCGATATCTTATAAGCTGTATTTGTTATCACTATACCTGGTTATTTTCTCATTGATATTTTTTTTGACAAGTTTAGGTTTAAATATTTACAGTATTCTCGTTCAATATAATGCATTGTGTTCTTAATAGCAAGTTTGACAACAAGTATGAGAAGATGAATAATATTTCCAAAAGATTTCTATCATTGGCGAATTATCATCTTTGAACATTGTGAAATTAAAGTTATTATTGGTTATGTTGATGCTAGTAAGTGTCGTCAACATTCATCAGTCAACCTCATTATGTTTTGTTACTCACCACTTGTTGATCAGGCGCCAGGTGGAGCCTCTTCTTCAGTTTCTTGGAGTTGGTGAGTTTCTCTGACAAGAACCTCAGTTGGCACTTGTCATTGCAGTAGTTCATCTTCTCTGAAACATGAGTGCCAGTGGTGACGTGTTTCAGAATCACACATCAAGTGGAGCTTTTGTTATCACTGCCACTGTAATTACATTTAAAGACTGACAAATGTATATAGCAGCAACTCTAATTTAACACAAACAAGTATATGTACTGTAGAGTATATAGCAATAACTACATTCAAGACGAAGAAAATTACATGTTAATAACTCCTATATAAAATTGCTCTTCGTATATCACAGTTATTAAAAAATACGATAGATTTAGCTCCAACAATGACACCGGAAACTATATCATTAGTATCCTGACTCACACCTTCACCTGTACTCTTTGCTTTTAATTAGTTTAGCTTTACTCTGGTACGAATTGAGTTCGGAAAATCGGAGTAAGAATTGTAAACACTTGGAAAATCTGCCAGAGTGTTGTGACGGCACCAAGTGGGAGTTCATTCAATAGCAAAGACTTGACCAACACCGGACCAGGTTCAGATATATTCAGGAGCCAGTACATGCCCAGTACTTGCCAACAGTGTGTAACAGAGACCATCAGTGGTGATGAGGATAAAAGTAAGTAAAAGTACAGTATAAGGGATTTCTTATCAACTCTCTTACTTCAGAAAATACAATTATTAGAAACACATTTACTAACTTATTATCTTAAGTCTTCTTGTTTACTCATAAGACCTGATTCTCTTGGAAAAATGGTCCTGTCAACTATTACAGCAACAGCAGCAGCACAATGTAAACACAACAAGTAGTTAAAGGCCTTAGACGAGGTACAGTTCCGTTCAGGAGTTCGTTATACACCCATGGAAAAGGTTGCACAGCCTGTTGCACCTCCCACCAACACACAGAGTGGAACTTACAACGGAGCAGTTTGATTCGGACGTAGACTCATCAAAAAGATATAGGAAGGTTATTAACATGATTATCGGCCAACGTTACTGCTGATGGATGATGAAGATGTGTTAATATCCTGCTTACGAGAAGAAAACCATAATGATAAAGAGTATCCATTCCAATATCAGAACACAATGGCGAAATCGGTCTTGAATGAACTCTATAAGAAGTAGTTGAACAGAGATCATATATCAAGAGTCTTCAAAGGATTAAGAAAAAGAGATAATTTTTTTCGCACATTGGCAAAGGAAAAGGAACACACACACACTCTCTCTCTCTCTCTCATTCTCCCTTTCTCACTCTTTATTCCTCTTTGACTCAGTCTCTCCCCTGGCACCTCACCTCTAAGGGCCTGGGTGAGGCCGTTCAGCAGGCTCTCCACGGTGTTGTTGTCACTCAGTCTGGTGGTGACCATCAGCCGCGCCAGCCTCTTGTACCCAGGAGTCACGGCCAGCTCTTGTGGGGTGAGTGGGAGGGTAAATGAGTAGGTGGACTAAGTGAATGTGAGGGTAAATGAATGAGTGGACAAAGTGAGTGGGAAGGTAAATAAGTGAGTGAACATAATGAGTGGCTGGACAAGGTGAGTGGGGGAATAGCAACCTCCCAATCTGTTTCAGCGAATTTGTACAGTTCATCATGTTAGTTAGATTGCAATAATACACTAGACTGACTAAAGACGAATATAAGTGGTATCAAAACAGAGCATCATCCAGTTATTGTTATGGATCTTTGTTTCATCAAGTTATCACACAGCCAAGACCGGAGGCAACACCCATACTTGAGGGAGGTCAGTTGGCATGAGTACTCACCTGAGCAGGAAGGGAAGGAGGTGTTGAGAGTGTCGGGTTGAGCAGTCCAGGTAAAGGCAGTATGGCGGCCACAGGTGAAGACGTAGTACTCGTGGGGACCAGAGATGAAGGTGGCACCCTCACGACACCTCACTGTGCACCTCTCCTCATAACTGTAGTCCTCCAGGTGGTAACACGACACCTGTTGAGTGGCCAAGTTACATGGTTTTGGTGCTGTGGATCTTGATGTGGTTATCATAAATTTGTATTTATGAGATAAAAGAACCTTATTGACTCTTATAAATTTAACGTGACTAAATAGTATTCAGAAAATTTTATTCTTAAGATTATTTATGATTCTGTTGCATATATGAATTACTGTATTTGGGGTTGCAACTATATACAGTATATAAATCAGAGTACCGTCCTGAGGGTTGGCGACCACAGTCCTCCACTCTAAAGGTTCTCGGACTGTTTTTACTAATCCTCTAAGGTTTTGTATCTCTCTGGGGAACCAGTTTTTAATTTCATTTATTCATCCCAGTCTCTGCTATACCCTGGCCCTCCTACTCCCAACTTTGTCCATTAATATTTCTGTTATTATCCCCCTCATCTTTAATTATATGACCAAAGTATCTCATTTTTCCCTTTCTGTACATTTCAAGTATTTCTCAAAGTTTTTGCCAATCTTAGTACTTCTTCGTTTGTTTTCTCGTCAGTGTAGCTTATTCTTAACATTCGCCTATAATACCACATTTCAAAGGCCTTTCCTCTTCCTGGTGTCTGCTGAAGGTGTCCACACTTCTGACCCATACATCAGTCCTTGCCATATAAAGCCTTTCAGCAGCCTGTTTTTCAAATTGAAGTTAATGTCCCTTTTCATTGGGTCTTTTATATTATTAAATGCCGTTTTTACTTGTCCTTTTTCAAATAAACGTCTTACTCTCATTCTAATTTTGTCGAAGACTGGATGAATCTACAAAATTTTAGGTTTTCCACATGAACAATTACATTTATCTCATTCGAATAGATGTAATGTGTTAACTGGGTCTTGGAAAATACCAAAATTCTGACTTACTCTAATATAAATAATGAGAAAGTAAATCATAATATTAATGTTATCCTCAGTTACCTTGTGTGTAATATACATAATCACAGAGTAGTGGAATTAACCATAAATTATACACATCCGTTAACTTGTGTGTAAAGAATGTAATAAAACTACAAATCAAGTACATGATAAAATTATAGACACCATCAATTGTGTACCTCAGCCTTGGTGGGATTCCTGAGAGGTGCACACTTGTCAACAGGGAGGCAGTCCTTTCTGTTGGGGTGGAGCCTGAAGCCCTCCTTGCACTGGCAGTAGTAAGAGTCCTCCGTATTGACACAAGACTGACTACACCCACCGTTGTTGATGCTGCACTCGTTTATGGCTGGTGGAGAAGGAACACGTGATATTTGAGAGAGAGACAGAGACCAAGTATACAGCAAATCTTTTTCAGTAATCTGACGGAAAAAAATAGGTCAAACAATAATGACTCAACAAATGCCTCTGTATTTACATAAGTATATAACTATATTTACATGGCCACACAAATATACATTAACCACACTCATTAACTCCGTAGAAGTGCGTAAACGTGCATGAGTCTTACCTCCACAGTGAGCGCCAGCAAACAGTTGATAACCTTGATCACAGGAGCAGTAGTACGAGCCGAGAGTGTTAGTGCAGAAGTGTTCGCACGTATTGTTTACCGCACACTCGTTCACGTCCAGACAGGAGCGTTCGTCGGGCTGCAGCTTGTACCCTGTTGGACACACACACTCGTAGCTGCCCCAGTTGTTGATACAGCGGTGCTCACAACCACCATTATTGACCGCGCACTCGTCCACGTCTGGAAGGGAGGGTGAGGGGGTGTCATGGTCTAGACTGGTGTTGGACGGGTGATGAGGAATGGATGATTATGGATTGGCGGGGAAAGAAAAAAGTAGAAGGTGAAGAATCACACAGTATGGTGAGACTCCCATAAAAGATCCTATTGTAATGGGAGGAGAAAGAGACAGCAAGGAAAGTCACCCAAAGAGCACAAGAGCTATATAATTGGATAGTTACCCCTGGAAAACTCGCCTAGATATGAAGAATTTCGTAGATGGAAGGAGAACATGGAGATTCACCTAAAATTTGGTCTAAATAGCAGAAGAGGGGAAACTCACCTAAACAGGTTCGCTGGTCATTGTGGAGCTGGAAGCCCTTTGGACAGGAGCAGCGGACGCCCGTGGCTGTGTTGTGACATCGACGCTCACAGCCGCCGTTCTTGATGGCGCAGGACGCTGAAGGGCGACACCCACACAAGATAACTCCTTAGTCTTAAATTAAAACTCACGTGTTCTTACAGGTATTTACAGGTAATTGACAGGCCTTTACTCTTCCATACGGTAATATCTACTACACTAGATCTGGTTAGAGACGAGCATTGAGTCATTAAATTTTAAATTATATTAAAAATGAATACACAATGTTCAGTATAATGTCTGCCAAACTTTTATTAAACTACTATAAAAAAAGGTAATGCGGGTATTGATTTACACCTAAAATTGAAAAAAAAAAGTATTATAATCTGATCGACAATATTCAGTCTTTATGAACATGAATATCTTAATTGTTAACAAAATGAATAATCTGAGGATCCTTCCTAAGCAGTAAACGTTGGCTATGAACTTGGCGATAGTGAGTCACTGAGTACGTTCAGGAGGAAAGTCGTTGTTCGCGGTGAGTATGGGCTCTCAGACCGGATTCTCAAAGATTTGCACAATATATTTACTTTTAATTCAGAAAACGAGACTAAATGTAACTATGGTGAAGTCCCAGTATAATTATGATGGTAATTTGGAGGCCAACCACACTGAAGCTGAAGTGAACGAGTTTAATATTTTATCACAACTCCACTTAGAGCAAAAATTTACTGAACAGTCATTTAAGAAAACTAGAGTCTGGACGTTGTTATGAGGACCTTCACCTTTGTTTACTTAAATTGGATTACCCGAAGAACCTCCACCCCATCTTATTACACCTAAAGATTAACCATCCTAACACTAAAGTTGGGGGATGAGATTAGGTTAGGTTAGTGGGAGGATAAGTTAGTATTAGGTTAGCTTAAAGTTAGAATAGCGTTGAGGTTAGGTTAGTGTTAGGTTAGCTTAAAGTTATATTACATTAGCGTTAAGGTGGTTAATCTTTAGGTGAAATAAGCTGGGGTGGAGATTCTTCAGGTGATCCCTTAAGTTTTATAAGATAATGAGTCGTATAGTATCTGACAGAATTAAAGACATTTAGTTGTAAATGTCAAGAGTTGCAGGGACGAGTTTATCTTTTTTTTCAAGTGTTTGTTTTTGCTCGATGGACCTTCTCCACTGTGTTCTGTCTGCCAAGTGTACTCAGAAAATCCACACAGTGATTGGCAGGCTTGACGAAATACTCTGAGACAAATAATGCGTGGGTTATCAGAGGTACAATTTCGAAGTTAATTTCCATTTCTTAACAGTGAGAAGAGTTGTGAGGACAAAGGTATAGGCTATTGTACTCATACGACAAATTAAAAAAATCATAATTGCTATATTTGTTGTTTATTTCATATATCATAGGTAAAATGTTGAAAGATTACACCAGTCTAATTTTACTTTTCACATTAAGAAAGAGATTACACCCCAGTTTTGTGGGAAATTAAAAAAGCTACGATAAGATTGAGTGTACCATGGAAGGTGTATACTACTTGTACATAGTGAAAAAGAAAAGTTTGAAAATTTTCTCCTACGGACCTACAGGGTACATGGACAAAGGGTAGCGAGGTTTTGTTAGCGGACAGAAGGTATAGTGACATTGGTTAACGGACAGAGGGTAGCAAAGTAATGATAGGGGACAGAAGGTAGTGACATTGGTTAGCGGACAGAAGGTATAGTGACATTGGTTAGCGGACAGAGGGTAGAGAAGTTATGATAGTGGACAGAAGGTATAGTGACATTGGTCAGGACAGACGGTAGAGAAGTTATGATAGTGGACAGGTATAGTGACATTGGTTAGCAGACAGGGAGTAGCGATGTTTTTGTTAGCGGACAGATGGTAGAGAGCTTACCATGTTAACGGACAGAGGTTGAGAGGCAGCTTCGAGAGGGTATAAGTTATAGTATAACACTCACGGATACAGGACTGTCCATCGGCGGCCAGAAGGTATTGGGAGTGACACGTGCAGGCTGGACCTCCCGTCGTCTGGTGACAGTGATGCTGGCACCCGCCATTACCAACCTGCATCAACAAACACAAGCTTACTAACCATGGTATCTGTTACGCCTCTTTGTGTGGGCCTTCTACAGTACAGTAGTTGAAGTTCTATTGATTAAATTGTCTACATGTTACGAGTGTAATTTACGTAAAGTTAATATAAATAAAGATCCTAACTGTGCACTAATGACGAAATTTATAGAAGGCAGATATTTAAAGATATATTATTGGTTACCTGTACTGTACATGCCAAGTCAGCACTCAGTAACAACTATGATATGCCAATAAAATATCAAGATATCCGTAAAATTTGTAGTGAAGGATACAACTAGTACACAATACATTATAGTTAAGTAGATTGGACTCAACTACAGGGAACAATACAGTAATATAGGGAAGCCTCGAAGCTGTAGCCAAGTCTTGTGCTTATAATGTGGTCTTAAACAGAAACCTTAACATTTACTAAATTCGCCGCATAAAACCTACTTTTCACTTTGGGTTCCTGGAGATTCTCATTACTTCAGAGGCGGAGAGACACTGCACTCACCAGGGTCTCCATTACTATACTCACAAGGGTAATGTGGGAGGTCTCCATCACCCACCCATGTCTCCACTACCTCGTTCACACCACCTACCATCTTTCACATATATTTAATCACTACAACTTTGAACTGAATATATCTATTTTGATCCAGGACATAAATAATAGAAGTTATGGTCACAGACAATAACTCTAGACACTGGTAGTTGGAGGTGGGTGAGTGGTGGTGGTGGTGTAAGGTTGGATCTCTCCCCTACAGCGTGACAACGATTTTCCCAATGTGATTTTCCACGGTAACAAAAATACCACTTACAGGCAGCAAAATGAAAAAATGTTTAACGATATCCTTTCTTTTCTCTTAATAAAAAGATGACTATATAATTCTGGACTAGACTTTACCCTTCGTATAAGATTTAAGTTAGACTCTTAAGTAACTCGGTCCACTCGACTAACCAACCTTGAGTATGTGGTGCAAACTAAATATTCAACAATGTTTATTAATTTGAAGGCGAGTGTAGTGAAGAGGAGGTAAATTTACCCTCCGTCCCTCCTCGTCAAGATCACCTTTACCGGTCTTAAAAGTATGCAATGAAGACGGCCAAGACGCGTAATATAAATCATTCAGCCTGACGTTCACTGGTCTAGCGTGCGCATGTACCTGATTATGGCGTCACTTCCTTCACAATCAGACTCCACTTCCAGCGAGAAAAACTGTAAAAGATTCTATCTAGGTGGACGCGCAGGTGATGGAAGAGATAGTGATCTTGGCATCACCCAGTATAAAATTATAATAAACTGAACGCTTATCGGAATGCCTGGTGAGCTGTTGGTGGGCCAGACAGAGACTCAAGGGAAAAAATAATTAAATATCTCGGTTACTTCTGTATGTTCACTCGCAGCTTTAAGATGGATGGAGGCATTATCGCTCGACTTGGTAAATGATCCTTGGAGATTTTACTGTCGGACTTAATATTTATACTTTCTGCAGAGTTTTCCATTACGTAAAGAGTTAGTGTATAAATCATAGGATCTATATTAGGTATTAAAGAAATTATATCCTTTAGTAACACATCATTAATAAAAATCACATACACACTACACAGCCTATAACAAGGGAGTAATTTAATCTTAGTGCCAAGAGTAATATTTTTTTGTTATTCAGACACACGGCAAAGGGACTTCTTAATTCAACAGGTGTTCTCAGGTAACTCAGGTCCACATTGCTAATATTCTCCCACAACAGGTAACGTGAACACCTCAATGGCTCACTTACGTACAACACAAATATGGTGGATAAGATGGTGACGAATTGACATTGATATTCTGACTTAACTAGACACGCTCTCATATAATCAGTTAATGGATAAAGAAACATACACATCTAGTAGAGAGTCTGAGGTCGCGGTTCTCAGCAGCTGCAGAACTAAGACATGATTCTTAAAGACTTATAAGTGGAATTTATTTTTTCTTCATCGTAAGTATGGGGAGTCGAAAACACAATGACTGCGAAAAAAATGGCTTTGTAGATCTCATTGGATCGGATCACATGAAAATTATCCTGCCCCACTTTATTTCACATTAAGATTAACCACCTAAACACTAACCTAATCTAATCTAACTTCACGGTAACCTAACCCAACGTAACCCAACTTAACCTAATCTAACACTAACCTAATTTAACCCAACTTAACGCTAACCAAACCTAACCTAAACCCTTCCGGTTCCGTTAGTGTTTACTTATATCAGGTGAAGTAAGCTAAAGGGGGGTTAATCTTCAGGTGGTTCTTAGAATCAGGTGAGAAAAAAAATACGAACTGACATTTAGAGATTCAGTTCTTACAGGAGATATTATTATTTCTCGGGAGATTGAACGGATTGACTTTTTTAACCTTTCTATTATAATGTTCCATAATCAAGGTAATACCAATAGTTATTACACAGTTATATTATCTATGAGAGAGAGAGAGAGAGAGAGAGAGAGAGAGAGAGAGAGAAAGAGAGAGAGAGAGAGAGAGAGAGAGAGGTGTGCAAGAGAGGAGGACAGGTATGTGGTACTTACAGCACAGGTGGGCTGACAGTGCCTGGCCCTGACGAGCACGTAGCCCTCCCTACACCCACACGAGGGACCGCCCCCAGCACTCAGCAGGCAGTGTTGGTCACAGCGCAGCGTAGCACACGACGCAGAGGCTGTGGCAGAAAGAGAAGGGCGGTGGGGGGAGGGGGAGGAAGAGGATCGTTATTAAATTAGACACTGGAAGAAATTGTCTACACGTGGATCGTTAAAAAGATGGCCGTCAGAAATATCATCAAGAGCTGTTCATTAGCACACAAAAAGATTAAAAAGAAACTCTTTGGGCTGTTGTGTTCACTTCAACTTTCTGATACTTATCGTAGCTCTGACAGATTCATTCAGTCACAAGCCGTTAACTTTGAGGTCTAGCTGAACCAGACAGGGAGCTCAACAAAAGCCTCCTGAAAGACTATAACGTGAGGGGAAAAACAAGATAAGTGAAAGATGACCAGAAGAGAAGTTGACCCGAAGTGTTAGTTATGGTGATAGTGACCACTCCAACCTCTTGACTCTTAGTTTGTTAGTCTCCAGTTATTTTTATAGTTCTTCCTTTTATTATTTTCCGCGTTGTCACAAGTTTATTCTCTTTAAACTCTTGTTAACATTTGAGGCAGAATCACACACTCACTGATAACCTGCTAGTTCACTTTACGGCGTGTTGTATGCTCCTCACACACCTGCCATAACTAGTTTCACCTTTCAATACTGTAGTGCTTTTGCTATATTTCCTAGGAGCATAGATCTTTATTTTCCTTATAGTAATATAAAAAAATACATAATATACACCATCAATACACAACAATATTTGAGATAAAGACAATACTGTACTCGCTTGTATTACCATGCCCGTAAATCTTGTTTGTCCCGCGGGAAGCCGATCTGTCAAGGTAGCCATGGGTGGCAGCACATACAGAGGGGCATTCAAGATTATCAACACTAACACATTTATTCAGGATGAAGGTAAATAACACTTATATAATCAACAAAGATTTTAATTTACTTTTTCATGTCATTGTATTTCTTATTTAAATCATTTACTTGCACTTTTATCGAGCACAATTAATTAAGAAATGCCTTTTAAAACTGTTCGGGTTGACCATAAACTCAGACAACAAACCGTAGAGAAAATGTTCACGGTGTTAAACCATTTGCGAAGAAGACACGACACTACAGACACTAACGCACTAATTCTGTTAACACGTAAAGGTAAAAAACGGTAGAAATAAATAATAGGAAAGGGACATGAATTAATCTTATACTTAAAACAGACAAAAATATACCCGATAGCACGGAAGGTCACTCAGGAGTAGTGGATGGCGAGACTCTGACATCAACACATCGAGAAAATGAAGAGGAGTTTTAACACGTGTGGAAGATGAAATCCCTATTAAAAAATAAAATAAAAAACAGATAAAAGATTCGCCTCCATTATCTATATATATATCAATGATGTTCAATAGGTGGAGGGGGAGTGAAGGCCAGTGGGTTAGGGGTGGAGGGAAGAAGGGAAGTGGAAGAGAGTGTGGGAAGGAAGGAGACTGTAGGTGGAGTAGGATGGATGATGGGTGGAGGAGGGTGGTGGGCAGGAGGGAGGAGGAAGGGAGGTAGAGCAGGGTGTGGGCAGGTGGTGGAGGGGCAGGTGATGGTGGTAGGGGAAGGTGGTGGTGGTAGGGGGCAGGTGGTGGTGGTGAGAATGATGTGGTGTTAGAGGGGGCAGGTGGTGGTGGTAGGGGGCAGGTGAATTGGTGGTGGGGGGAACCCAGGTGGTGGTGAGTGGGGGGCAGGTGGTGGTGGTGGTAAGGAGGAGCCCAGGTGTGGTGGTGGTGGTGGGGTGGGTGGTGGTGGTGGTTAGAGTTTTGAACCCGGATGGTGGTGGTGGTTAATTGGTGAGGGGGACAGGGTGGTTGGTGGTGGGGGGGCAGGTGGTGGTGTGGTGTGAACAGGGGCATTCGTTGATTGGTGGTGGGAGACGGATGGTGGTGGTGGGGGACGGGTGGTGGTGGTTGGTTGGTGAGGGACTGGCCAAGGGTGTGGGGTGGTGGTGGAGGCGGATGGTTGGTGTGCTGGGGGCCCAGGTGGTGGTGGTGGTGTGGTGGGGGGCAAGGTGGTGGTGGTAGAGACGGATGGTGGTGGTGGTGGTGGTGGTGGGGGGGCAAGGTGGTGGTGGTGGGGGGGCAAGGTGGTGGTGGTGGGGGCAGGTGGTGGTGGGGTGGTGGGGGCAGGTGGTGGTGTGGTGAGGGCAGGTGGTGGTGGTGAGGGGGCGGGTGGTGGTGGTGGGGCGGGTGGGGTGGTGGTGGGGGCAGGGGCAGGTGGTGGTGGTGGGACGGCGGGTAGGTGGTGGTGGGGCAGGTGGTGGTGGTAGGGCAGGTGGTGGTGGTAGGGGTGGTGGTGGTGGTTGGAGGGCAGGTGGTGGTAGGGGGGGAAGTGGTGGTGCTAGGGGTCAGATGGTGGTGGTAGGGGGACAGGTGGTGGTGGTAGTGCAGGTGGCAAGAGGTGAGGTTCTAGTGGGTGGTCTCGTCAGTATGCGGGCCACACCTGTTCAGTGATTATTATTTGTTGGCCGGCCCTTCTCCCTGACCGGCCCTCCCTGGCTGGCCGAGACCGCCCCCCTCCCTGGCCGGCCGCCCTCCCCTGTTAGCCGTCCCAAGGGCTGTGGCACGATGCTCTCCACACCGGACAAAGGCAATTTGATGGTCTTCAAACCAGGGTATTGTAAGTGAGCACTTGACTGGGGCCATAAAGGAGGTGCTTGGGGGAGGTGGTGGTGTTAGTGGCTCCAGCGACCCCCAGCCTCGACATTTAAGAGTACTGAGTCACAGGAGGTGATTAATGTTGCAGATCTTATCACTGGTTATCGCTGTACTAAATACATACTATCATAGATCAAACCCACGGAGAAAGGCAAATAAATACACAACCACTTAACATTGAGCGACGCACGACGGGCTGTGGGTGGTGTGTACACGCCTGGGTGGCTCGGCTAATCCGCTGTGTGGTAACAAATTGTTAAACAAGTGTGCGTGATAACGAGGCTGGTGGGTGGCGGGGCGGGCAGTAGGCGGGGAGTGATGAGGGCAGGGCGGCCCGCACTGACACCCCGCCACCCTACCTAATTGCATTTCACGCCTTATCCTTCTTAAGGCGTCCAGCTCCCCGCGCTACAATACAATTGACCGTCGCCATTAGCGGCCAGACTGATAAAGGATCTGTAAAACTGAGGGTTGTCGAGTCGATAAATTGTCGTTTATGTGAGGCCGTTGAGGAGGAGAAATGTGGACACGATGAGTGTACATTACTGAGGTGTTTGTTATAGCCGATGATCACTGTACTCAGTGTGACAAGCGCTCGTTATGTACTCTAAACAGCTCGTTCATATCGGGTTATTCACACATCCTTTACCCGTGTTTAAGGTGCGCTACCAAACATACAACACAATACTGTATACATGTACTATCGTGGACAAAAGTTCGCTTCCTGTAGAGAAACTGAGACACGGGAATGAGTCTCCGAACTGACTTACCCTGATTGTTATCTGCTGCGGGTGTGCTGTGCGGGTCGATACTGCTTCAGTTTGGGAAGGAGCGAACTTTTGTCCACAATAGTAGTATACTGTACAGTACAGTACACTATTTGCACTTCATGCTTCATTCTGCTCGTAGCTGATTTACATACGAATTTATCTTATCTAATACGCAGCACTATTGTAGCACTTTATATATATATATATATATATATATATATATATATATATATATATATATATATATATATATATATATATATATATATATATATATATATATACATATATATATAGTACGTGTATACAATATTAAACTCCCTTTCATAATATTGCTTAAGGTCATCAATACATACAATAAAAACATTCCGTAAAATCGATAATGCCCCCATCACATGATCAGTTCATTTTCACTCTCAATAGTAATGTTTTAGTCAGGGGACAAGATAACTAATAACGGAGACTCGTGCCCTCGCACAATGCTTGGGTCTGATAACACACATACTGTACACCGATCGTAAGTCTCATGAGGACTGACCAACGTTTTCTATTGGGGGTTGAAGAGGAATGCATCACTGAGGGTGGCGAAGACAAGCTGAGGAACAGGTGAAATGTAAATACTGTCCATCTCGTGAGACAGAAGGAAAAGACATTATAAAAGAAGAAAGAAAAAGAAGAAGACGAAGGCGAAGCACTTGACAAGTTGACACCCCGTGTTTATAATTCCGTGCAAAACAACTAAGACAATGATAAGCAGATGTAACAACACTGTGGTAAAAAGTAAGACCATGACAAGACTGGGGGGGGAGCCACACTATAACACTCGACCGGGTGTCGTATAATTTTATGAGGTTATTGTTACATATTGTTGTGAATCTTAGGTTTTTCATATTTCCTGTCATGTTTGTAAGTTTTTTGTTTTGTTTTTACTAATTTTCTTTTAGCTTAAAGATGTAATGGGAGTGTGTGTGTGTGTGTGTGTGATGAGGGTGCAGTGAGAAGATAATAATAATATGGCAATAATATAACAATAACAGTAGTAGTAGTAGTAGTAGTAGTAATATACTCGGCAGCAAGAAAGCCACAGACAGGCCCATTACACGACATAAAACACCCTGACAGCCTCCATTTAAGTAATTAAGACAACTAGACAGCAGGACATTTGACCAGAAAAGGTGACACAACGAATATAAAACTCATGTAGTCAATCATTTGAGAGAGAGAGAGAGAGAGAATATGTGTGTTTGTGCATGTTGAATGATCGTAAAAAACAACACTCATATCCTTATTCTCTTCGGGTTAAAACACCCAACAACAAACAAACACGACCAAAGACGGCAGGGGTAACCAGGGAGGAAGGAGACTGACCAATAAAAAACCCCGACAAAAAGCGGCTGGGGTGTTACGTCACACACACAAGGGCCAATTAGAGTCCTTCTCTTTGACCATAATGGCGACCCTTCCTTGGGCCCCACCCGCGACAACCAACACTTTTATGGTGCCTTTAATTTGATGCTTCCCGGATTCTCCAAGCCTCGTACATTGAATTTTTCCTCCCAAACGCGGAGACACAAGATCGCATCTAACTGGCAGCTA